TTTTGGTACATGAAATTGAAAGCCATTCATGAGAGGAGATTTTAAAAAATTAATGGAAAATGCACGTTATGCAAAAATACACATAAATTTCAAATAATTTTGTGCCCCAAAAACCATCTTTCTAAAAAAATCATTTTATTTGAAAGGCAGAGTTACGGAGAGAGGGAGAGACAGAGAGAAAGGTCTTCTGTCTCCTGGTTCACTCCCCAAATGGCTGGCTGCAAGTCAAGTTGAAGCCAAGAGCTCAAAGCTTCTTCTGGATCTCCCACATGGGTGCCAGGACCCAGAGCCCCGGGCTGTCTTCCCACTTCCCCAGGCATGTTTGCAGGGAGCTGAGTTGGAATTGGAGCTGCCAGGACTTGCACTGCCACGCATATCGGATACTGGCACTTTCGTGGCTTAACCCACTATACCACAGTGCTGACCTCTAAACTTTCCTTTTTCCATACATATGTTTGCCAGTCATTTATGATTAAGCAGTTTTTGTGTAAATTTTATGCTTTGAACATGTAGCCAGGCACTAATAGCTTTTTCCTAGTTAAAGAGATTACATGGGATTGACTTCGGCATCTTAATGCTTCCCAAGTTTGGAAGGCGATCAGTTAGTCTGATGAATTCTGACAAATGCACAGACTGCCGTAGCCAGTACCACAGGCAAGATGCTGAGCAGGGTCCCCAGAGTCCCCATCAGTCGTTTCTTGATTGCTTGTTCTTCAGTGTCGTGTGCAAGAGACCCAACAGTAGCCGATCCCCTGCTTGTGGCTGCTGCTCCTTGCCATAATGTTGCATGTGTCATTTGTTTGGTGTAACAGTGATCCACTGTGTTAGAACAGTCCCCCATTTCTATTCATTAGCTATGTCAGGGACCCCAGGAAGTCTTCCTCTTGGGAAATATTTTGAGAGTATGTAAGAAAATGTTTGACAGCATGAATTTCCTAAAGCCTTTATATTTAGCCTTTCCATTTTTAAAAATACTTCAGCCACACCCTGGAAATTAACTTAGCTTTATCAACGCACATGCTCTCTAAATTAGGCTGCATCTAAAATAGCTCAAGCCAGGGACAAGGCAAAATTTTAATAAATATGGAACTTCTCTTCTTAGTACCCCCACCACTTCTACTTGTAATTCTTACTCTCACGTGTATGCCTTTAAACATCCATCTGAAGTTTATTGAGACTTATTTTGTGGCTTCACATCCATGACTTATCCTGGTAAATATAACATATGCGCATTAAAGTAATGTGCATCTTGCTTTTGTGTGGTTTGCTCTGTAAATTGAGTTATGTCAAGATGGTTGATAGTGTTGCTGACGTCTTGTGTGTTACTGGTGTCTTCCTTACCTGTCTGGAAAGGAGAAGTGATGGAGTGACCACGCGGAGGGACAAGGGGAGGGCAGTAGGCTTATATCCAATCCTATCAACTGATCAGACTGATCCAATCCCAATCCCGATCAGACTAGGTTCGTCAGGTTTTGCCTCATAGATTCTGAAGATGAGTTGCTCTTTGCAGAAACATTTTTGTTTGCTAGTGTTCCCTAATAAGTTAGCTGTTTTCATGGTCAAGCATTCCTCTTTCTAGTTGCACATCTTGATTTGAAGTTGTTTTGTGTGTGTGTGAGTGTGTGTTATTATCACCATGTCCTGTGCTTACCATGTGTAAGAACGTATGGGAGAGGATTTCAAAGTTGGTAGAAAGTGGATTGGAATGGTACGTGGAAAATGTTGAGAAAAGGAGAGACAGAAAGATGTTCCATCTGCTGGTTCACTCCCCACATAGCTATAACGACAGGAGCTGAACTGATCTGAAGCCAGGAGCTTTCATCCAGGTCTCCCACGTGGGCACAGGATCCCAAGGACTTGAACCATCCTCTGCTGCTTTCCCAGGCCACAAGCAGGGAGCTGCATGGCAAGTTTAGCTGGCACCCACATGGGATGCTGGCGCTTGAAGGTGGAGCATTAGCCTGCTGAGCCAAAAGAGAATGCCATCCACTTGATCATGACATTTGGGGCCTGCACACCTTTTAGCTTAACCCCTTGTGTCCGCAGTTTTCTCATTTTGAGTTTTCCAAATTGAAGTATGATTGTGAAATACGTGCCCCAGCTCTCTGAACCATGCACTGAGTGGTGAGGAAACTTTAGGTCGATGACTTAACTTGGTCACTCCTCAGTTTTAGTATGATGGTGAAGACATATCTAGAATATTTCTGCACAGTAGAATTTCCACATGAAATGGTAGCAGTACGTTGTACCTTCCAAAGTGAATAAAGTTCTAAAGTCTTTTTAGCCAAACTGCCAAACCAGAGTGTGGCCTTCCCGTGTTTTGAAATGTTTCCCCTCTCAGCTTCCTGCTTGCTCTGGCTGCAGACTGACAGGTGAACAGTCAGAGTGGCTCCTTGCAGCCCTCTCCGTGGCGCTTACCAGGATGAACGTGTAGCAGAAAAGTTGTCCAGGAAGCCGCTGCCAGGGCTGTTAGTGGACTGGGGGAAATAAAGCGGGGTGCACATTCTGGCTGCTTGGAAACGGGGAGCAAAGGTTCCTGTGCGACAGCTGCCATTGGCGCCAGGCGTTTACTCCATCACAGGGTCGGCTATGCCGGACGACGCCTCCTCCAGGCCTGCCGGGAGGGTCTGTCTGAAACATCTATACATTACTGTTGTGAAATCACAGCATCTCGACATCTCCCTGTTCAGAACCAGTCTTTTAATTTGTTGTTGTTGTTGTTTTAATTTGAAAGGCAGATTTTACAGAGAGGAGAGAGAAAGTGAGAGAACTTCTTCCATCTGCTGATTTACTCCCCAGATGGCCGCAATGGCCAGAGCTGGGAACCAGGAACTTCTTCCAGATCTGTGTGAGTGCAGGGGTCCTTGCTGCTTTCCCACCTGTAAGCAAAGGGCTGGGTCGAAAGTGGAGCAACCAGGACATGACTCGGTGCCCGTAGGGATACCAGTGCCACCGTGTGGAGGATTAACGCACTGGCCCTCATAGCCCATTTTTCTTGCAGGCATAGTTTTCATACACAGAAATTCACTCTTAGAGAGGAGGTCAGGTAGACCTGAGTTAAAAAAACAAAAACAAAACCAAAAAAAACGGGTCTTTGCTATATTTATTTGCTGTGTGTCCAAGCAACTATCCACGTCCTTGATCCTTATTTATAAAATGAAATTGAGCTGATTCATTTTATTAGGGTTATTGTCATCATGATTAGGGCTTACAGGTAACTGATGTACATCTGCCAGGACAGCTTCCTGGTAGTTCTCTCCTGGTGCTATTGCTGCAGTGTGGAAAGCAGTAGGTGAGTGTGTGTGTGTGTGTGTGTGTGTGTGTGTGTGTGCATGTGTGTGTGCACAAGGCAGACTTCACAAAGCGCAGGTCAAAAACAACAGGAAAGAGTGTGTGCATAGAGAATGTACATAGACTGCCCCCATCACTGTTTTCTAAAACAACAGTTCATTCGTTTGAAAGGCAGAGTGGCAGGGAGAGAGCTTCCATCGGCTGGGTCACTCCCCAGACTTCCACGACAGCTAAGGCTGGGCCAGGCTGCAGCCAGGAGCTCAGAATCCCATCCAGGTATCTCATGTGGGTGGCAGGTGACCAAGCACCTGGGTCATCTTCTGGTTTCCCAGGCGCGTTAGCAGGAAGTCGGATCAGACTCGATGCAGCTGGGACTAGAACCGGCACTGTGATGTGGAGTGCCAGTGTTGCCATTGCCACTGAATGTGCTACACCGCCATGATGTCCCCTGTAAGAACCGTTCATGTAGCAAGCACTTGGAGTTGAGTATCATGGTAATCTAGAGAGGATTTAAAGTATGCAGGAAGATTGCATAGTTTATGTGCAAGTCCTGTGCTCTTTATAAAGAGGACTGGGTGAATATCCAGTTAATGTTACATGACGGTTGATCCTGAAACGAAACTCAAGTTTATGTTAGTGAGCCCTGAGAGGGAGAGCCAGAAAAGCAAATTTAAGAGATCAGAGACTGAGTGGGGCTGAACCAGGAGAAGGTATTGGCCACCCAGCACCCTCCGTGGCCCTCAGCAGGCTTCCCCAGCCTTCTCTGACGCTGAAGCTCTGGATGATGGAAGTCAGAAATGATACAGATAATCCATCCCACATCTACATGCCTGGTCCTGCCCCTGACTCCTGGTGCCTAGTCCTGCTCCCAATTCCAGCTTCCTGCCGATGAAGCTCCTGGGAGGTAACAGAGATAGCTTGAGTACTTAGGTTCCTGCTAGGTCCCTGGGAGACCCAACAGGAGTTCCCAGATTCTGGCTTTGGTTCTGGCCCAGCCCACTGGCTGGCATTTGAGGGGTGAGTCAGCTGCTGGGAGATTTCTTTTTCTCTTTCTCAATTAAATATCATTTAAAGAAAAAGATTTATTTTGTTTTTATTGGAAAATCAGATATATAGAGAGGAGGAGAGAAAGAGAGGAAGATCTTCCATCTGTTGGTTTACTTCCCATGCTGCCACAACGGCCAGAGCTGAACCCATCTAAAGGCAGGAGCCAGGAGCTGCCTCCAGGTCTCCTGCATTGATGCAGGATCCCAAGGCTGTAGACTATCCTCAACTTCCTTCCCAGGCCACAAACAGGGAGCTGGATGGGAAGTGGGCCGCCGAGATTAGAACCGGCGCCCGTATGGGATCTTGGTGTGTGCAAGGCCCTCAAGGACCTTAGTTTTAGGCTACTGTGCTGGGCCCTTAAATACCTTTAAAAAAAAAAAAGTATAGCTTAGAAAACATTTTTCTGGATTCTAAACACCTTAGGAGCAAGAGCTGAGCCTGATTTCGTTAGTTCAGATAAAACATGCAGTATGCTTCAGCTTGCTGCAGATTCCATTCCAGCAGCTCCAGCACGTGTGACATCCTCTGTGTAGAAGAGTTACAGTTTTCGGCTGAATTAGCAAACCCCCTCGGCACCTTGTATCACTGAAAGGATGTAAGGACACCGCCATCTGTTTTTCTTTTCAGATCCTGGCTGCGGTTTGCCCTCGACACCCAGGAAGATGATGAGTGACGCCAGCGACATGTTGGCCGCGGCCCTGGAGCAAATGGATGGCATCATAGCAGGTACCCCGTGCCCTCCGAGGTGCCCTCTGAGGTGGGGTGGGGGCGGGGTCCACTGCAGCTCTCCCTGGCTTTCCGCTTTGTCCCTTCCATCCGCTCTCTCTCTGGTGCCTCTCGGCCCCCCTGTGGGTTCAGATACCTTTTTCTCTGTTGTCCTTCCCCACCAGAATTATTCTCAAACATCATTTTTTTAAAAAACATCTGAAAACTGCCAGTTCCATCCTAAGTAGTTTTAGTCAAGGATTAAAACAAAACTTAATTCTGGATCTCCAACAAATTCTGATGTCATGGCTTGTGGCCTAGACTCTGAGGGACCGCGCTGTGGCCCACACCCGTGGGTGGGTTTCCTCGAGCTCAGCATGCTGCTGTGCCTTCTAAAATGCCTTGTGTTTGCATCATGTGCATTTCCCAAATATTATGAAATATATTTTTAAAGAAAAATTTCTCCCAAATAATCACACACTTTGCCTGGTGCTTTTCCAGGAGCCCTCTGACATGCCCCTGTGTTCATTTTCCCAGCTGATAGCTAAGTGGCAAGTCTCCCCAACTGCCAGCCGCATTTGCACTTAGCACACATCGCCAGGCCTGCCACCGTGGTGGTGTCGTCATTCTGGACTTCCCTTGCAAGTCCCTCTGGTGGTCTCGGTTCATTTCCTAACAGCTTCGTTCCCATTTTCCTAAGCCAGACGTCTCGGTCATCCTTCACCTTCCCCGTCTAGCTTATCCACTTGTCTGGGCTCCACTCGCCTCCAGCTTCTCTCCCCCTTTCTCTTCTCTGGACCCTGTTCTGCCGAGGCCAGCGGGGTCTGGCTGCGTCTTGGTGTCCCTCCTTCTGTGTGTCCTTGGGCCCTTGCTCTCCTGCCCTCAGTCTCCCCATCCTTAGCCCTCTGGGATCTCATCATGGTGCTCCCGTGCCAAGACCCTCCAGCAGACCCAGAGCGGCACCTGTGCTGCCCTGTCCTCTCCCGGACATGTCATGGCCCACACAGTACTTGGAGCTCCTCAGAATAAGAAAGTACAGAGTGTCTAGTGGGTTGGGGCTGTTGTCATCCACCAGAAACCACTGCTGCCGGTGGCCTCTACCTAGCACTGGTCAGCCATTTGGTGCCTGTCTACGCAGTGGCTCCAGCACAATGCGGGTGTTTGTTTATTTTATTTTATTTTTTTTGTCGAGAAGGTTCTTTCTCTCCCGCAGGCAGTGCTGTGCCATAGTTGGGCTTCTCGTGTTGTACTAAGATGCCCTGGACACCAGACTAAAGTGAGGCCTGCCGTGTAGGCATCAGCATTCCACATTGTTCTTGGGGTATCCTCTTCAAAGCGTCATTGCAGAGCTGTGCCTCATCCAGAGGACAAGGGCACATGCGCAGTTTTAGCAGCATTGAACTGGGAGAGAATGTTCTCACTGGAAGTGTGGTGGAGGACACCATTTCGGAAGATAGAACTAGAGCCGATTCCAGGCTCAGGTTAGAGGTGAGGAAGGCGGAGAGCCTGGATGGAGTCTAGCAAACAAGTGGTACTTCCGGAGAAAGTTCTTTGAAAAACGTGCATTTCAGATGTGTTACACTGGCAGTGTGTGTTTTTCAGCCCTGCCGGAAGCCTGGGGCTCAGCTAGGACCTGGGCTTGCATTTTTGAAGGTTCACCAGTCATTTTCCAGAGAGACTGCAGGCACCTGGGGATTGTGCCCACACCCCTTTCTTTGCGGAGGGCACGTAGACTCGGCGGTGCCGCTGGCAGCACTACCGGCTGGAATCCACAAGCCTGTCACGTCTCAGTGTCCCTCGTCCCCTCCTATCCTCCACCGATCCTCCAGGACCGATTCCTGGATGGGTCACAGGAAGCACTTGGCCTCACGTGTCAAGAGCCGCCCTTTCTGGAGTAGGACAGATTTGGGTGTGTCTGGTGTGGCGTGAGGAGGGCCCGGGCAGGGGACCAGCCGGGAATGGTTCTTGTCCCCCACCTTGGAGTGGGTCCGGCACTTGGCCAGCCGAGGAGAGGAGTTACAGGGGGTGCCGGGGCCTACATGGCATCATCACCAACAGGTCTGTGTAAAAGTTACATGAGTTTGACAGACTAGAAAGTAAGAGAAGATGAAGAGGTATACATGACTGGTCCAGAGGAGGCTGTGAGGAAAAGACGGTTGTGGACATTTAAATAGGAGTATTTTTTCCTGTGGAAGTGACAGAAAACAAACAAAAAAAGGCTGTGAAAGTTTGCTTTTCTGTTGGGTGCCAACAAGCGTTGATGCCTGGCTGCCCATACAACCTCTAGAGGGAAAACGCATGAAGGGACACATGGCATGTGCCACATGCTAAACGTTATGGTGTCAGCTCTGCTTAGTGAGCGAGCCCGTGCTGTGCCATTTCCAGCTCAGCACGTAACTCCTTTTTGGGGACTTTGATGACGCGTGGTCTCTGAACCTGAACTCTCCTGCCACCTGCCAGGCCATCCACACGCCAAAGGCTGTCAGCATTCACCTTTTCCGCGAGCCTGGCCTCCCTGTGGGAGTTGGGCCATCGGTAGCATTCTCCCTTCTTCATCCTGATTGTCCCTCGCCACGGCTGCGTCAGTTTACAACCTCTAGGATACTTTTTGTACCATAAATTCTCTTGCTCAGGGGTCGGCAGTGTGGTACCATGGGCAGCGCCAGCGTCCCATATGGTGCCGATTCTTGTCCCGGCTGCTGCACTTCCAGTTCAGCTTCTTGTTTAAGCCCTTGGGCCCTTGCACCCTCATGGGAGAGCCAGATGGAGCCCTCTGGCTCCTGGCTTCAGCCTGGCCCAACTCTAACCATTGTGATCATCTGGGGAATGCACCCACAGGTGGAAGACCTCGCTGTCTGTTTCCTTCCCTCTATAACTCTGAATTGCAAAGAAATAAAAATAACTGTTCAAAGCAGCTAGATCTCACCGTGTCTTCCCACCCCAGGTTCGAAGGCTCTGGAGTATTCCAATGGTCTCTTTGACTGTCAGTCCCCCACGTCCCCATTCATGGGGAGCCTGCGAGCGCTGCACCTGGTGGAGGACCTGCGCGGCCTGTTGGAGGTGATGGAGACAGAGGAGAAGGAGGGCCTGCGGTGCCAGATCCCAGACTCCACTGCGGAGACGCTCATCGACTGGCTGCAGAGCCACTTGGTGGGTGTCCGGGTGTCATGCCCGCCAGGCTTATTCCAACCTCTGGATCCTGGGAGTAGCTGATTAGAGCCAGAGAGGGGAAGGGGGAAATGATGGGGCAACAGGTTTGCTCCCTTTTGACTTAAAGATAATTTTTAAAAAGTGGGCACATAATATTTGTGGGTGCTTCTGGGTGCCAGTTTGATAAATTGCAAAATGTATCATGGTTGAAGTAGCATTTCAGACATTTGTCATTTGCGTGTGCTGGGGCTCATCTGGCTATTTGGAAAAAACACCTGATGTTGCTGCTGATGTTCTTCATGCGTCTGTGCTGTAGAGCTCTAGAGCTAGTCCCTCCTGATTGTGGTACCCGTTTCCGTTTCCCGCTGTCTCTCTGCGCCTCCCCACCCCGCCCCACTCTTCCCCAGTGTTCCTGCCTCTCCTGTGAGATCCCCTGCCTCAGCTTTTACAGATGAGAGATAACACGCGTGTTGACCCCCTCCCCCCGGGGGCTGAGCCGCTTCAGGAAGCCCGGCAGGCCTCAGGGACGCTGTTTGGGAAGGTGTTGTCCTTATCTGACTGTGAACCTGGGTAGGTCTCCCAACCCTGCCCGCTCAGTTGGTCTGGCCCCAGATTGTGCCCAAAGGACCTACGGTGACCGACAGCCTGATGGGTGGCCCTGTAAGGGCCAGAACCTTGCATGTTGTAGAAGTTTCCTCAGAAATGAGAGGACCCCAGGCCGGATGATCTGTTTGCACGTGTGGGCAGAGGAACTGTCTACATTGCTGGCATGGTTGGTGTGAGGCGCCACCTAGTGGCGAGTGGCCATCATTTCCATTCTGGTGATGGAGCTAAGGCGTGGCTTCCAACGATCTCAAGTTCACTGGCCATGTGGCCAGTTTGCAGGTCCTTCTCCAAACTGAATGACAAGGCAGAGCTGCCCTTTCTGTGGGCACCCCAGTGAAAGGCCTGGCCTCAATAGATGGTGAACACGTGCATTCTGGGGAGTGTCACAAATGTGAAAGGATACTCCACGTTAATATGCATATTTACAAACATGAGTGGAACTGTAATGGTGGAATTCAGGTCTGTGCTTGGACCTGGGGGAGAAATGAAAGCTTTTTGCTCCTGGGGAGCTTATTAGCACATTGTACAGCCAAAACATCCGTGTGCAAGAGTGGTGTTCTCGGTATTGTGCCGGTGTGCCTGGCAGCCCATGCCAGCCATTTTCCCACTTGAAAGGTGCATTGCGTGGTTACTGGTATAACTTCTGAGCCCCTGAGAACTATTTCAGGTGTATCTGAGCTATTGGGAAAGGCACCTTCAGATTTCCTTTTGCATTGAAGCCCTGTGTTTTGTGTGTTTTGTTGTTGTTTTTTGGTTGTTACTGTTTTTCCTGCTCAACTTGTGATATTAGTAGTTCTCAGGATTGAGCAGCGAAACTGAAGTGAGTGGGAAGTTAGACCAGGGATTCCAGTCAATCCTGGGAAAGCAGCAGGTACCGCACCAAGTGGGGCCCCTGGCAGGAAGGATGAGGCGGCCCTGTGTCTGGCTTCCAGTCTGAAGCGGGTGTCTGCTGTCTCCAGTTGAACCTCAGCCAGTCTGTTAAGCCATTGTGGATTCCAGCTGACTCTTACTTCTGTTGTCTGTGAGTGCAGAATCAGGAAATTCCTTTGTCATCGCATCATATGTCGTTCTGAACGATTTAAATGGGATCTTGAGAAACGTATCACATGTGTCACTGTGTTACAAAATGACATTGTTTTATTTTCTGCTTTCTCTAAATTTTTTAAATTTAACTTTTTTCTTTGTAAGAAAAATTTATTCATTTCTTGCAAACCATCATATATAGAGAAGGAAGCATAAAGGAAGAAAGAGATGAGGGAGAGAGAGAAGGGTCTTCCATCTGCTAGCTCACTTCTGGGATGAGCTTCATCCAGGTCTGTCATGTGGTTGGCATGGGCCGAAACGACTGGGCCATCTTCTCATCTCGTACTGCTTGCCCCATGCCATTGGCAGGGAGCTAGAGAAGAGGTAGAACACGCAGAATGTGAACTGCTGTCCATATGAGATGCCAGTATTGCAGGCAGCACTTTTACCCTCTAAGCCACAATGCCAGCCTTTCTTTTCATATTCTTTAAAAATTTATTTTCATTTTATTTGAAGCGAGGGAGAGAGAAAGTAAGAGAAGGAAATGGAGATGGAGAGAGACAGAAAACAGATGTTTCATCCACATAATCTACTTTCCAAATGCTTGCAACAGTAAGAGTTGAGCAAAATCAAGAATAGGAAACTCCATGTGGGTTTCCCAAGTGGGTAGCTGGGGCACAAGCAGTGGAGCCACCACCTCCAGTGTCCCTGGGTATGCATCAGCAGGAAGCTGGATGAGAAGCAGAGCCAGGACTTCAGTCTGGCCGAAGAGGGGACATGGGCCTTGTTACGGCTACACTGAACGCGTGGCCCACCGAGTCCTCTCCGACATGCTTTCATGGTTGCCTATAAGGCAGCTGAGAGGGACGGGGAGGGGAGAACTGCTTCCTTTCTCAGTGTGTCCTTCCCTGGGTATTTGTCCTGTGCATGTATGTTTCTATGACTTATAAAATGGAGGCAGGAGGCAGATGGCAAAGAGGGAGCTGCCATGCCATGTGTGCAGTGGAGTTCCAGGGTAATGCTAGTCTATGGTTGTGCCCAGGGGCAGAAGAGAACACTGCACAAATAAGGCACAGGTGAGTTCAAGACAGGCAATGATAAGCATGGCTGGGCAGTGCTCCCAGGAGGAGTCCCTGGGGACTAAGTGTTTAAGCTTTGGAGGAAAGAGAGATTTCAAGGACTCCACGCTCTCAAGATGGATCAGTACCTTGGAGACGTGAGTGGGCAGAAGGAAGTGTAGGCTCAAAGGGACTCATGCTGCTTCCCACCCAATGTTGGGCATTTGTGGTCTTCAATGTGAAACTTGGCAGTGGAGGTGATAGGAATGGGAATGCATCAGAGGTCATGGCCGCCATCTGCCACCAGCCTTGTGGCACTGGAGACAGGTGTTGGGCCCGATGCCACACTCTGAAGCTTCCTGTGCCCAATGTGCTGGCTATGAACAAGGACCATCACTTAGCCACTGTTCCTTTTGGGTCCTGAGATCCGCCCAGTGAAGACAGAGGTGAGTTTAGCGAAAGCCTGACCAGCTGCTGGGAGTGCCTGGCTCACCATCTCTTTGGAGCTGGCGGGAGCCAAGCTGTGCTCCTATGCTTTCCGGGAACGACAGCGACACTGCACTGCATCCAGGTTCTTAGATTAAAGACGGACGCAACTTGACTTACACTGGTTCTGCAGCGGATCCGCCTCACCCAGCTCGTTTGCTCTTTCAGACCAATGGACACCTCCCTGGCAACGGAGACGTGTACCAGGAAAGGCTGACACGCTTGGAAAACGATAAAGAGTCTCTCGTTCTTCAGGCAAGTGATCTTTAGACATCCCATTTCTCCGGGATGTAGTCACAGACTACTCTACAACGGCAGCCAGCCAGTAAAAGAATCAGTGCCAGGGGTGCACAGTGTGGAAGTGATGAGGCCTGGGCCACAACCAGGATGTGCACAGCCGGTCTGGGGCAGGGAGACACTGTCTCATTGCCCTCTCTCACTCTGCGTGCAGGTGAGTGTGTTAACGGACCAGGTGGAGGCTCAGGGCGAGAAGATTCGAGACTTGGAGTTCTGCCTGGAGGAGCACAGAGAGAAGCTGAACGCCACCGAGGAGATGCTGCAGCAGGTGGGTCCGGAGGCCGCCCCGCAGGCATCCCTGGGCCAGCGTGCGCTCCGATGCAGCGGTCGGCTTTGTGATTCCCGTAAGCCGGCACCGCAGGCAGCACAGACCTACGGCTGCAGGATCTGCAAACACACACACACACACACACACACACACACGCGCGCGCGCGTGCACACACACAAGTTCCAATGTTGTATGTGCCCTGAAGGTCGTTTTGCTTTTTTTTTTTCTGGCGTTTGCCTGGCTCGGGAGTGTGTCGGTGTGCATTATGTGTGCACAGGCGTTCCTTCCGCTCACGGGGCGGACAGTCCTGCTCCTAGCCCTGTTGAAGCGCGTGTCCTGGAGGCTGTTGGTCACTGCGTCCTCTGCGTGAGGGTCGCCGTGTTGTGACTGCAGCCACGCGAGAGCTGCTGCTGGTGACACATGTCCGACGCCCCCTCCGCCCTCACAGGAGCTCCTGAGCAGGACTGCTCTCGAGACCCAGAAGCTGGACCTGATGGCAGAGATTTCTAACCTGAAGTTGAAACTCACGGCGGTGGAGAAGGACAGGCTGGATTACGAAGACAGGTTCAGAGACACAGAAGTAAGTGACTCCATCTCTCTCTCTCTCTCTCTCTCTCTCTCTCTCTCTCACACACACACACACACGTGTGCATGCACACACATTGTCAGAGTCGGGCCTTGAACCCAGGCTCTAGGACACGGGATTCAGTCCTCCCAAGCAGGCTCTGAACTGCAGTGCCAAATACCCACGCCCCGCTCCCCTAACGCATACCTACCTGCGCTTTATCTGTCACCTGAAGAAACATGTTTTTAATCTCACACCAGGGCTCTTAAAACAGGACTCGGCAAGCTACTGAGTGTCTTTGAAATTCTTGCTTTTGTTCTTTCTGTAGCAGCCCAGCCCCATAGTTTCATGATCTCTCTCTTTCTACCCCTCCTCTGGGGACCCTGACAGAGCTCAATCCACCTGTGGACCACAGGGCAGGGACCACGAGGACACTGCCGGCACTTGGCTCAGTGTGGAGTCCATCTCCCCTGCATGGCTCTGGGCTGCAGGTGCTCACCAAACATCTGCAGATGTTGAAGTAAATGCGTGGTGATGTGGGGGCGGGGAGTGGGCATCTCAGACCTTTTTCCTTGATATTCACCTGTGTCACTCATGCATTTGCCATCCTAGGCCAAGTGAGCTGGGCATCAAGCCAGCAGTGTCCCCAGGCCTGCTGATTATGTCATAACCACTCAGCCCCATCAGTAGAGTGTGATAGGCCCGTGGTCCGAGAGAATGGGAACCTTGTGACATATGACGATAATTAAAATCATCTTAGAATTAAAACTGAATAGGGTCATGTTCCCTATTGTCGTTGTTGTCGTTTGTTTAATAGAAATAAAATTTTGTCCTGGCTGTTTCACTTTAACTGTAAGAACAGTGTTTTATTTTTCCTTCAATTTTTGCTTTGAATGTTTGTGAAGCAACGTGACTAGAAGTGTATAAAATTGTTTAAATGATTTTATAAGTTCTGTTTAAAGATTTATTTTTGTTTCTATTGGAAAGTCAAATATGCAGAGAGGAGGAGGAGAGACAGAAAGGAAAATCTTCCACTGATGATTCATACACCAAGTGGCCACAATGCCCAGAGCTGAGCCAATCCAAAGCCAGGAGCCAGGAGCCTCTTCTGGGACCCCCACACAGGTGCAGGGTCCCAAGGCCTTGGGCCGTCCTCGACTGCTTTCCCAGGCCACAAGCAGGAAACTGGATGGGAAACAGGGCCGCCGGGGTTAGAACCAGTGCCCATATGAGATCCTGGTGTGTGCAAAATGAAGACTTTCAACTGCTAGGCTACTGTGCCGGGCCCTGATTCTTATAACTTAAAAAATTTACTTGTATGCAAGTGAAGTTAAAGAGCTTCTGATTTGATTATTGTTTGCAGTTTTTGCCTAGTTTCTGTGGTCTTTTTATTTGCTGAACTCTTTTTTTTTAAGGCTTATTTTTTATTTGAGAGGCGGTATTACAAAGAAACAGAGGAAAAAAGAGAGAAAGGAGACAGAGCGAGCAGGGGCTTTCATCTGCTGGTTTCTCTGACTGGCTGTAACGGTGGGCTGGATTGGTCCAAAGTCAGGAACCTGGAGCTTCTCCCAGGGTCTCCCATGTGGGTGCTGGCCCCTATTCCTGAGCTCTTTGTGAAATAGAGCCATGAGGTACTTTAATGTAAATTTAAAAAAAAATAATAAAAATGAATAACTAGAACTTTATTAAGTAGAAAAATACAGAATAATAGTTTGGCACCCATTCAAAAATAAAAAAGGAGAAAGTGTTTTCCTGACTGCTTGCTTGCATCTAACATCATTTGACTTTGTCCTAGAACTTCAGATTTTTTTGGGAAGCTGGATTCTGAGGATTTGCTGGGATGGGAAGAAGTGCGGAGGAAGGCTTGGACGGTTCCTTCAGTAGGGTCCCCGGACAGGAGGTGGCTAGTGCTGTCCTACAGTGCCCCCTTCCGGTACGGACACAGATAACAGCGCTGAAGTTGCTGGTGGGAGCCCGGAAGAGGGATTTTTCCTTTTCTAAGAGACTGAGCTTCTGCTAAGAAATTAAATTCCATTAAATTTTTTTTTTTCTCATTAAGGCACTACTTCCAAAATTTCCAACATGAGCCCTCATGGGAATATTTGACTTCATCCAGGTTGGAAATCCCTGGTTTAAAACATCGTGACAGAAGAGATTTGGGGTAGTTTTCTTAAATAGGAAAACCAACCCAGTTTATCGAAATTGTATTTTTTTCTCTAAAAATTCCTCCCCTTTGCAAGTCACCAGTGTTTTCAGTACAAGTGGTAAAACACTGCACCACTGATAACTGAGAAACGGGAAAGTACGTGCTGATGCAGGAAGACCAGCAGGGACTCGGAAACACGGTGAACTCAGAAAAGGGCGAGGAGCAGCCTCGTTTGAACTTGGACTCTGAACTCGCCAAGCGAGGGTTTTTAGATCGTCGAGTTGTTGCTGGTCTCATTCAGTAGAGGAGAAAGCATCTTCTTTCACTGAAGCTTTATAGGATTGTTAGACATTATGCAGTCATGGCAGACAGCTGTATCTCCTGTCTTTCCAGAGATGGTGGTGTAAACGCCACGGGCTTCGCTGGGGAGTGCGTTTCTCTGCAGCTTCCTTTTGCGAGGCTCTGCAACTTGAATCTTGACACTCTGGAGCTTTGAGCCACCCGTGTCCACCAAGTTTTATTTCCAGTAGCGTTGTTGTGTGTTTTCCTCTAATTCCACTCTGTGGCGTTTTAAATTTGTGACTCTACAGCAAGTATCTTATCTGGGTTCCAGTTGGAGACCCTTGGTTTAAAAGATTTAAATTTTTTATTCTATTCTGCCAGATTGAGTTGATGATCAATCTTTTTTTTTTTTGTTAGAAAAGGAAGAAAGAAAATATAAGTTTGCACATATCCACAAATCACTGGAAAAGTACCTCAAGGCAAACGGTTTTGCTGGAGGGAGCTTGTGTATTGTGTTCGTAAAGATGGATTCCATACTGTCATAGTGAGTCTAGAAATACCTGAAAAATGTTAGGAAGGAATTAGCTATTCTTCCTCTTCATCAACATTTTCATATTTTAGTTATATAGCTTCATCTTGCTACGGTGGAGAGATTGTGAAATTACGGCAATCCTTAATGAAATGGTTTGGTTCCTAAAGGTTTATGAAAAACCAAATGATAGTCCAAATGATAGGAAAAGTGTGCATGGATTTCAATGTTTTGTTTTGGTTTGTTTTTTTGCCACCAAGTAAACTATTAATTCCATGTTCCATGGGGTTTTGCAGCCCCTTTTGTTAATTTATTTTCATTTGTCTGCTCTGATAAATGTAACTGTAATCCTAGGGCTGTGGAATTCCGAAGTTCCTAAGCTGCTCTTTACACACACATGTAAAAATATATATATATATTATTTAAAAGGCAGAGTGACAGAGGTGGAGAAACACACACACACACACACAGGAAGCTCTTCCATCTTCTGGCTCATTCCATGGGTGGCCACAACAGCCAGGGCGTCATCCTGACTTTGCCCGTGAGCGGCAGGGGCTATAGCGCGAAGGCCAGCCTCTGCTGCTTGCGCAGGTGCGTTAGCAGGGAGCCGTGTGCGAGGCAGGGCAGGTTCCCCATATGGGATCCAGCCTTGCAAACAGACCCCTTAGCCCGCTCTGCTTCTCTGCTTCTCTGCCTGTCCCCGGGCCGCCCATTTCATTGGGGTAAAATAACTGTGTGTACTCTTCCCTAATGTATCTCCTTGTTCCCTTCCAAACAGGGGCTAGTGCAGGAGATCAACGATTTGAGGTTAAAAATCAGTGAAATGGACAATGAAAGACTTCAGTATGAAAAGAAGCTCAAGTGTACCAAAGTAAGTGTTTCAAAACCTAGAGCCCCGATGGCTCTGCCGTTTATCCGTGACCGGCCATAGACCTGCCCCTTCTACATCAGATATGGTAAAGAAGTGATTTTGCAGGTGCATGTATGAAGATTTTCCCCCAAGCTGGAAACCTGGTTGAAATTAAGCACTCCCCCTTGTGAATCCAAACCAAGGTCCAGACAGAACCTGTCGCTTCAGTGAATTAGCTCACCTCCTTTTGAAACTGATGCTGTGTTCTCGGTTACTTAGCTTGTCTTTTTCTGCCTCTAGTTTTCTTTCACTCCTCTGTCTCTCTACCAGTCTTTAATGGCCAAAGTTTCTAGCATGAAAATCAGAGTGGGTCAGATGCAGTATGAAAAGCAGCGGATGGAGCAAAACTGGGAGTCCCTGAAGGTGTGGTACCCACGGGGCTGGGCGCCGTGGCCTGTCGCCTCGTGGCTTGTGTCGTCTTGCTGTGGTGGTGTGCCTTGTGGTGTGTGCATTCATCCTGTGTGTGTGTCCCCCACCCGTTGACTGCAAAGCCATCTGCTGCCGGCGGAAGAAGCCGTGTGATTCCCCAGTATTTTCAGATACGCATGAAGCAATGAGTGAAAAAAAAAGTCATAATTGAAATGAATCAAAATCTCCTACTCTCTAAAACCCAAACCTGGTAACATTAGGAGGATTTTTCAAAAGTTTGTGGAAAAGAGAATCATATAAGTTTGAGAGCAAAGACATTTTTCTTTGGGAAACTCAGGCGTAGTTTTCTAACCAATGTGTTCTACGAACTTTTGGAAGACCACCTGCGATTGGGCAGGTTCACCTCTGAAGCAATTCTACTGCATGTCAGCAAGAGGGGCCATTTTCCTCCATCAGGTGCATCAGTTAGCCTGGGATGGCAGGAGTAGAACCTATTACTTAGGAGCTACCCACGTAGTGGAGGACAGCCCTTTCAGAAATTCCTTGGGTGGGGCATCCCCTGCTGTCCAAAGTCAGAACTCCAAGGCTAACTTAGGCTGATTGGCGATCTCCATCCTCCCCTAGGTCTAAATGTCACAGCTTTAGAGATCCTGAGGGTATTATCTCCAGCTTAGATGTACCCCAGTGAACTGCACGGGCACTCTGTGTGTGCAGTGCCACCTACCAACCCGAAATTGGCTAGCAGGAATTCTTACCAAACCAAACCTAGAAATGAAAATATTAGTGAGTAGGACCATGGACATGGAATTGTGCACAGTCCTGTTGTTAATGGAAAGTGGGTTTCTGCATTTCTCAGTGGGTTTTCCCCCGTTGTTGTAGGCGACGCTGTGGTTTTACTTAGTCAAACGATGAGTCCCTTGGCCACACGAGTCGACTGTGACTGGCCGTCTTGACGTCTGCTTAAGCTCTGTGCTTGTCTGGGGATCAGGTGTGCCCTCTAAGATGCCAAAAAGAATTTCTCCAATGTCTTGTTCAGTTTGTATTTTATTTTGCGTTTATGACACCAAGTCTTTAATTCGATTGTCTTTATTGATTGACCTGGATGCATTGTTAAACTTGGAACGTTAGGGTTATCCCAGCCCTAATGGTAGTATAGAATGTTTCTTTTTTAATCCACTCACAGAGAATCTTGGAGTTATAGCACAATTATAATTGTTGGACATAATTCACAATCTGCCTTCCTGCTTACCATTGCCACTGTCAGATTTCTGGTGTTGGTGTCTAAATTCTTGTAGATTTCTGTTTCGTTTGTTTTAATTTCAATATTGATTTAAAGAGCTAACATGTTCCCCCTGTGCCTAGCATTGCCTTTTGATCTTATCTACTTTTAAATGACGTTGTTGTTTGTAGGAGGAGCTGGCCTCTTTACAAGAACAACTGGAGGAGAAGGAATCCGAAGTCAAAAGGCTACAGGAAAAATTGGTTTGCAAAATGAAAGGAGAAGGAGTCGAGATTCTAGACAGAGGTAAGATCGTAGCTGGCATCTGTCACCTTCTCTTGGGAAAATCTCCCACACTCAAGGAGGAAATGGGTGGGGCTGGACAATGGTAGCATCAAACAGGCCAGGTAGGCCAGGGCCCCACGGAACTCTCCAGGCATTGCACCGGGTCTAGGCTGCATCTCGGGAGTGTGTATGTCCAGTCACAATTCAAGCAGGTGCCAAAGGATCGAAGGACACTGTGTTCACCTGTGTCTCAGGATGGCTCTGCTTTGAGCTGGAGATGAGAGAGCACAAAGGGGTTTAGAAACCTTTCCTGGGGCTTAGAGGGAAGCGAGGAATGGCTCTGCATCTTTGGAGACTCTGCGTTTTTCAGTGTGAGTGAAAGCCTCAGCATTTTAGAGAATGAAAATAGACTCATGGCTGTTTGGGGGAAAACAAGAATTATCTGACATGTTTGTGCTTAACTGAGGAGGTTTGCTGTGAATACTCAGCTATGAATCGTCCTTTCTGATCGTGTAGGTTATACATGATAGAAAATAATTTGAATAAAGCATGTGTCTTAGAAAATTATATCTGCAATGTGTTTAACACCTGGCAAGGACAGGTGAAATGCGGCCTTTCTCTGTGATGCTGAATGATGACTGACACTGGAAGATAACAAAGCAACTTGTGACTCATTCAAAACAAAACAGTGTTGTTAACCAGCAGCTAACCAGTTAGCACAGGTTTTGGTGTACTGTTTATCTTTTCTGTGAACGTTACTAACATTGGGGTCTACACAATGAGAGACTTGAATTAGAGCACCGATAGCAATCTTTCTGGGCTTGAGTATACCATGGGTGTAATCAGTGTAGGTTCCACGATTCTCTCTCCGTTGGGAAACTTGATTCATCAAACGCGAACAGCATAAAGCCTTCCCTGAGCCCGTCAGCATATGTAGAATTATATGTCACTAAAGGACATTCAGAATAAGTCTGACTTTTTTGATGTGAGGATCAGAACTAGTCTGTGAACTGCTTATTGTCAGGGCACAACCACACAAACGCAAGAACTGACAGCCAGTGTTCTGAACCTTTGTGACAGTCTGACATTGGCACAGCAGGAACTGATCGCATCTCCAGGGGAAGCATCTCAGCTGACAGGGCAGACCGGGGCAGCGCTGCTGAACTTGAGCGATGAGTTGGATGTGTGTCCAGGTGTTCTGGCCACATTTTGTGTGTTGACCTGTGACAGAGACATTAAAAAAAAAGTATCCAGAGCAGCAAAATTAGCTTTTTTGGGTACAATGTGTAAAACACTGGCACTCCATCAGCATAATTTTAATAATGCAAAAACCTAGGGTTCAGACATGATGAGTGAAAGAGGTGATGACTCAGGTTGGGGCTTCTGTGCTGCCTTCTCTACTCCCCATAGGAGTCTTGTTCTGGAAAACACTAAGGTATGCATAGGATTCAGTTTCTACAAATTTGAATCCTTTTTTTTTTTTTTGGTACAAGGAAGTGAAATGATAGTGCTTTTACAATAATGTTTGCGGTTGTATGTTTGCTAACTTCCCATTCGATGGGTTTTCCTGCACAGATGAAAATTTTAAAAAGAAGCTCAAGGAAAAAAGTAAGGTTTTTAGTGTATTTCCATCAGTCTTTCCATCCCCTCAAGTCCCACCCGGACTATTCTTTGCATGTGTTTTAAACCATTCTCTGGCCAGTGGCACAAAGTTGCTTCATCAATAAGCCCTCCATTTCCTCAGAGGGTACCAAACCAGGAGTCGTCGAGGAAGTGGAAATTTGTTTTGTTTTGTTGTTTTGGGGCACATTTTGTGCCCAACCCAGTCCTTTTTTTCCTGTGAGATACGAGAGGGTTCGTGGGGTAGTAGAGTTCCAGAGATGTTCTCCCTGTGAGCAGAGTGCTAGGACCCAGAGGAGAAAAATGATTCTTGTCATCTCGTGGAACGTTGCTGTTTTTAAGATTTCGCCAGAGTTGAGAGATGGTTTCGAAGTTTGCTTGCCAGTTTCTCACGGCACCCTTGCGTTGATGAGACCTTCCGTAGAAGTGGTGCTAACACAGCCCTTGGTGTTGCCAAGGCTGGGGCCAGACTGCTGCTTGGAGCCTGATCATTCCTTGCAATGGAGAGATAAATCCTTCTTGGACTCTTTTCCTCCTGATAATAAATTGCTAAATCCCTTAAGTTTGTCTTTCAAAAAGAAGAAGGCCACTCCTATAGAATATATCTTCATTAAAAATGTAGCAGTTATCCAATAAAAGCTCTAGTAATCATAAAAATCATGCTAAGTTGTGTTTCAGTGTTTGAATTTATGACTTTGCTTGGGAGTCATTTTTTTCCTCTTTAAAATATTTTTTTTAAATTAAAATAACATTGTTTTGCCATCGAATATCAAGTGTTGAGGGAAAAGAGAGTCAGCCAGCGTGGCGTTGGTAGCTTGAGGCCTGCTTTCTGATCGTGTTGGAAATGAAGTTTATGGATGAAGCAAAGCCCTCACGACCCCCTGAATGGCACCCATGCCCACTGCCTAGCATGAGTTACATAAACGTCACGCGCTCCAGCCTCGTACATTGCTGCCTCCCTCGGCCGTGGCTGAGCACCGTTTCCCTGCTTTTGTCATGACGTCAGCCATCCGTCACCTTCACCCACTGCTTCCCAGGCTTCTCTTCCTGGAAACTCCGTAGTCGCGTGATGACGACACTCAGAGTTCGTCTGCAGCATCCTCTTGTCAGTGCCGCTGACACAAGGAGAGGCACTGGGCGGGAGGGAGAGGCGTGGGCGTCCTCACACCTTCCTTTCTAGAATAACAGATGTGTGTCGTCCACATTGCCCCGCAAAACTGAGTCTGGGTATCAGATGTACACCCCACACTTTTTTTAAAAAAAAAATCATTAGCATCTTTACATGAAAGCATCTCTGTGAGAAGAGGGCATACCTTCTGGTCATTGTCATCCGTGCTGACCATGGAGGTGGTTATGTGCTGATGTGATGTTGTGTGATTTCTAGATATCGAAGTTCAGAAAATGAAGAAAGCAATGGAGTCCCTGATGGCAGCGAACGAAGAGAAGGTATGTAAATGGCATTTGATGATCTATGTGGTTGTTGCCCCATTTTGATCACAACCGAGCAAGTTTCTTGAGCCCCCTCGCTTTGAAAGAACATGCCCCCAACATCACTGGCACTGATTGGCAAACGCCCTCTCTCCATCCCGGCAGTGCCATCCTCAGCCGTGACATCGTCTCCAAAGACAAGGTGGAGGGCATGCAGAAAGAGAAGAGGGTCAAAGATGAGATAGGTGGAAGAACAGGCATCATGGAAATCGAATATTAGACGAAATGCAAACAGAAGGGAAAGGTGGACACAAGTAGAAGTAGAGGGAAAGCCAGGGTGAGCCGAGTACCCCAGAGCCGAGGAAGGGGTGCAGAGTGCTTTCGTGGTTAGCAGACTGCCCGTGGGTCATCCAGGCAGTTCGGTGCGGTGTTCTAGGAAGGCAGAAACCAAGCAGTGATGACTAATAGCTGATGAGGACAGCAGGTGCAGGGCCTGCCAGATGCAGCATCAGCTGGACCTGAGAGTAATGAAAGCTGATTTTTCTGCCTTTTTTTTTTTAATTTGTACTTTATTACCTTGTTTTTTTTTTTTTTTAAAGATGGCAGCTGATGGCTAAGAGCTGTAAGTGTAGAGGTACTTGTTTCCATGTCTCTGATGTTACGTAGGAAAAACACTCTAGGTTCTACCCGTGTTACTAAAGTTTAGAAGTATTCTTTGAGTAATGTAAATAATTCGTGTCTGCTCATCCTTCGTGTCACAGTTGCCTTTGCTGCCTTACAATCATGAGACTAAAGATGGTCACTTATTTCATTCCTAGGATCGGAAAATAGAAGACCTGCGGCAGTGCCTGAACAGGTACAAGAAAATGCAGGACCCGGTGGGACTGGCCCAAGGTAAGCACGGTAGGGTGTAGCTGTCAAGGTTTCTCAACTTCAGTTGATTTTTCAGTGGCTGTGAGCTTGGGTTTACCCTGTAGTCTATTCCAGGGATCACATCCATGGTCCCAGATTAGGAAGCTTGTTCATCAACAGAATGCTGTTCTGAAGCTCTGCGTAACACACGGACCGTGGGGGCAGAGAATGTTCCAGAGAGCGGCTGTAGGGCCCACAGGAAATAACACCAGCTGCTCCCACACTGCTGCCCCCCTGGTGGTGCCAGTTGGGAATTCACCTGCAACACCAGGGTGTGGAGGATCAGACCGAGAAGAGGCAGATGCTGTTTGCATTTGCCACCAGGAATCGTGGGGCGGTGAGAGGTTGGTTTTGAGCACTAAGCCCTGTAAGGTTAACCTCAGGAAAGTGAGGAGTGCGTTTGGTGTGTTTATTGTTCATTTATCCGCAGGTTTACCTACTGGCCATGTGCAAATGTAAAAAAAAACACCTTGAAGAGCCTGCAGAAACACCAAAGCTTCGAAAAGGCTCTATTTGTCCCCGGAGCATAGTTAGCTCTGACGATAACCTGTAGGAATAGACAAGTGTTTTCCAAGGCACTCATTCAACACTCGGAGTCTGAAATTATAATTTTGATAAGTTCACACAGAAGGGAAAGCAGGCTTTGGGTGGAAAACCCTGCATCCCTTTGTGCACAGAGTCGGGCATGTTGTTACAGTGTCGGAGTACCAGAGTGTGCCAGTGAAGCCCTGCTCATCGCAGTTCTCACCACTCAGCGTTTCTCATGCCAACCAGAGTTTGCCTTTGAAAGACTGTTTCAGACTGTGGGGTGGTTAATTTTTATATTTACACAAAACCAACACATTCAATCACCTTTGCCTGAACTGCACTCCTAATAGTGTTTCCTTTAAGATTTATTGACTTATTTGAAAGGTAGAGTTAAAGAGAAAGATGGGGAGATAGACACATAGATCTTCCCTCCGCTGGTTCATTCCTCAAGTGGCCGGAATGACAGGAGCTCTCCCAGGCAGGAGTGAGTGGGTCATCTGCTGCTACTTTCCCAGGCCTGCAGCAGGAAGCTGGACCACGAGTGGAGCAGCTGTGGGCAGTTGATGGCTTCACCCGCTATGCCATAGCACCAGCCCCCGTGACATTTAAATTCTGATGAAACTTGACTAAAACATAAATTCTGAAGCTGTGGCGTGACTAAGCTCATTAAACAACGTGTGACTTGCCATTTAGTCCTGAGAGAGGACTGTTTACTGCATCATTTAGAGGTCTGTTTAAAACAAACAGGCACCCAGCCTTGGGCGGCTTGCCAGGTACTCCTTTTTATTTCTAGAGGTGTACAAACATTCTCAGGGTGCTACTCCCTGGGGGTGTGGTTGCTTTTCCCCCTCAGGTTGTTCTTTCTGCTTTAAAATGCCATGAGATGAGGTAGGCATTTGGCCTAACAGCTGGAATGCTGCTTAGAATTTCCATATGGGGCCAAGTCTCCTCTCTTCCCGCATTTGCTCCCACTTGCTGCTAAGGCGAGCCCTGGGAAATGGCAGATGATGGCTCATGCATCTGGTCCCTGCCACCCACGGGGGGAGCCCAGATGGCATTCCTGGCTCCCAGCTCCCACCTGGTCCAGCTCTGAGTGCCATGGGCTTTTGGGGAGTGAATCAGCAGATAGGAGTGGCACTATCTTTTCTTCTCTCTTTTGCTCTTACTCTCAGATAATTAAATAAAATTTAAAAAGTAAATAAGAGGGTTATCTAGAGATATCAGAAGTTGCCTGTCATATGTATATTCCTCCCCGTGATTTTTCCAGCGCATAGCTGTGATATTTAAATGATGAGCGTGTTGCTATTCTGCATGAATTTTTTTGGGGCAGCCATTCCTCAACTCAATTACGTTCAGGCTAAAATTCATAAAACCCCAAATTCTAATGCAAATCCAAGGGAGGGCTATGGAATAAGCTTAAGTCCCCTCCTTGCCGTCTGACAAGGCCGTGCTTGAATCAAATCCAACTTGCTCTGCAAGTGCCCTGGCTGGGTGCTTAGCAGGGCCCAACAAGCCTTGGGCCTTCCACACTCCAGCTGCTGCTTCCCAAGCCCCAGGCTGCTGTGTTTAGGTGATGCCAGGGGGTCTTGGGGACCGGAAACTTGTCAGTGTTTAGTATAAATGGGATCCCGCTCCTCCTTTGTCTCTGTCTTCCAGTCAAAGACACTGACTATGACGACCTGCTCCACTCCAGCTCCATCTCCACACTGCTGGACACTCAGGGCTTCAATGATGTGGAAAAAAGCTCGTCGCCTACCCCTGCAGCGGGCTCTCCCAGTCGCGACCTGTTTAACACAAGTGTCCCAGACGAGGTATTTATGGACTCTCAATGCTTTCTTCACGTTGATGTCATTGAAAGCTAAAGCCAAAAGGACGCAGGCTCCTTTTCTTGGTTTTGTTGCCAACTTGGGTTGCTGTGGACATTCCTGTGTCCTATTGGTCTTTCTCGTTTTCTTTCTTTTTCTTTTTTTAATGTGTGGGTTCCCCTCCCCCCCGCGCCTTTTATAAGTACCTTGGGTAGTTGTCAAAATTGCTTTTAAAATTCTGGAGAAACATTTAATCCCTAGGAGACAAAGATCATCTTTAATGTGAGATTGAAATCTACTTATTTAAGGATAAGTAGGGAGTAAATAAAGCAGGGATAAAAGTGGGATTGTATAAATAAATTGGCTTCAGTTGCCTCTGCTGGTGACACTGAGACACAGGAATAAAACTTTCTTAGCCTTAGGAAAAGCAACTGGAAAGGAATAGTCTTTAACTTTGCATCACAGAGGCACCAGAATCCACTATCCTTAAGCTTTGTGGCTTGAATGTCTAAATCTTCCTGATGAATCTGCAGCTCGAGCAGGGCTCCGCAGGAACAGCTCATCTTTGCTCCACTTGGTGTCAGTTGGAACCGTACGGAGGCTGCCGGGGGCAGGAGTCATCTGAAGGCTATGCACGCACGTGCATGTTTGCCAAGACCTGAACATAAGCCATGCCTAGAACATGCTTGATTTCCTCGCAGTAGAGTGCCTGGGTCCTAAAGGGACCTGGGTCCCAAGAGAACCCCGCAAATCTGCACCACCAACTTTTGTGAACTGACCTTGAAGTCACCAAGCAGCCCTTTGCCTATGTAGTTCTAGGTCACCCAGATTTATGAAGAGGGATCATGGCGCCTGGGACAGGTGACAATAGTGCAGGAAGCCCTGGGTGGGATGAATTTGTGTAGACATGTTGGAAGCCACTCTGGCTGCGACACCTGATATCCAGGGCTGTCACTGTGGCACAGCAGGCTAAGCCAACACTTGCAACACAGGCGTCCCATATCAGAGCACCACTTTGAATCCCAGCTGCTGTTTCCAATCCAGCTTCCTGCTAATGCACCTCAAAAAGCAGCAGAAGATGGGTTAAAATTTTAGGCCTCTGCCGCCCATCTGGATAGAGCTGGTAACCCTTTTGCATGGAGGCTGATTCCACTGGGCCCCCGCCCAGAATCTGATCACTCAGATGCGATGGACATAGAGGAGAACCCCTTGGGGTCCATTCCTCTGCTGTGGTTTCTTTAGTCACATCTGTTAGAGCTCAAGAACCAGGAGCTTAAAGGGCAGGTTACCTGCCCCTGCACCCAGCCTTCAGCATGGTGGGACAGGTGTAATACGGCTTTGTAGACACTCATCTCCCAGGAGGATGTTGGGAGGCATGCGGCTGTCCCTGATCCATAATGATTCCCCAATCCGGCAGGCACGTGGCATTTGGCCCCCTCGGCCTCCTGGATTTCCCGTCCAAGTCACCTCTCCTCTCTACTGCCTATGTGCCCCTTAGAGTCTTGCTCGTTCTCTAACGTTTTCATCATTTGGGGTGTCCTCCGAACCCACTGGGAACCCACTCTGTTAGATCCATACATATCCACAGCTGTCTTCATGGTGAGCTTTTCCTTACTTTTGAGGCCACTACAGGACAGGATGTCCCATTTGAATCAGCCAGCTCCTCATGACTTGTCCTCAAGTGCTTCTGAGGAGCCTCCCGGGAAGGAAAAGGCCTTTTGCGGCTCACAGGTGGGAGCTTGGCAGTTTAGGATCAAGTGGTCCTGTTAGGCTGGTGACGATGGAGGGGTGTGGGAAGGGGGTTCCTGTGGAACAAAGAAGCAGAGAGAGGTGAGGGAACACGCTGCACCTGTGCCCTGGCTGAGGATCCTCCTGACAAAGCTATCCTGATTCACACTCCCACCCTCACCATGTAACCCAGAGTGATCACTTTTGAGGCCTCCCCCAGCCCCCACCCAGTCTGTAAGCATGGATGAAGCCTTCATCATGATTCATCCGTTCACTGAACGTTGGAGGCTTAAATGAGTGTGTGGGGTTGGGGAGCCAGGTGCTGTTGCATCCCTTGTTTTACATGATATGCAGTCTGGCTGAGGTCCCTCTAGAGGACCCCTCAGGCTCACCTATGTCAGTTCTGTTTGCTTGACAGCCCCCAGTGCTGAATCCTTGCCCTGGACCCATGTCTTCAGTTGAGCATCATCTACTGTCTGGAGAGGCTTGGAGTGGGAAGTCGTTCTATCCAATAGCTTAGGTCCTTTCTGTTTGGAAACGTGGCCTCCTTCAGCCACTTCTTGGATCATATTTTATCCTATGTGGAGAGCAGAAACCCAGCAGCATCTTCACTTTTCCCGTCTGTTGCTAATCATTATGGGAGAAGATGAAATTTCAGTTGAATGAAGATGAACTCAAGTAGGAAGCAGTGAATGTGTCTCACTTGAGAATAGGAGAAGGCGAAGCTTTGTTACACATCGAGGAATTACTTAAGGAGTAAGACTTATTTTCAAGGGAGAAGTCTCCTAAGTGTTCAGTTTTTTTTTTTTAAAGATTCATTTATTTTTATTTGAAAGGCAAGCTTACAGAGAGAAGGAAAGACAGAATCTTCCATCCACTGGTTCACTCCCCAAGTGGCCGCAGTAGCTGTAGCTGAGCAGATCCAGAACCAGGAGCTTCTTCCAGGTCTCCCATGTGTGTGCAGGGTCCTAAGGGTTTGGGTCATGCTCCACTGCTTCCCCAGGCCATAAATAAGGATCTGGATGGGAAGTAGAGCAGCTGGGACACGAATCAGTGCCTATATGGGATTCCTATTTTCCTGGTAGAATTATTATTAAGTAAAATTACAGTCAGTTTTATTTACCCCTTGATCAGTTGCATTCTTCAGAACCATTGGACTAGTTCACATATATTTAACAATTAGAGCTTGACCGGTGCTCTATATAATGCTAATGTGGGAGGTAAAGTGAAGAGCACATGACCCTCGTCTTGACCTAAATCATTGCAGCCTTGGAAACTGCACACTGCATCTTTCACTGAGGCAAAGCAGGTGTCTGGAGAGGTAACTCAGGTGAAGGTCACCGAGCCATGTGTGAGAGCAGAGATTCGAGCCAGGGCTTCGAGTGGTTAAAATTTATCATTATTAATTGACTTACTATATTCAATGTCTTCTTTTTTTGAGGTTTTTTTTTTTTTTTTTTTTTTTTTTTTACTGTAAAGTCAGATATACAGAGCAAAGAAGGAGAGGTAGAGAGGAAAATCTGTCCGATGATTAACTCCCTAAGCGGCCGCAATGAGCTTAGCTGAGCCAATCTGAAGTGAGGAGTCAGGAGTTTCTTCCAGGTCTCCCACGCAGATGCAGGATCCCAAGGCTTTGGGCCATCCTTAACTGCTTTCCCAGGCCACAGGCAGGGAGCTGGATGGGAAGCGGGGCAGCTGGGATATGAACTGGCACCCATATGGAATCTTAGCATGTTCAAAGTGAGGACTTTAGCCACTAGGATACTGTGCCAGGCCCTCTTTAATAGCTGTGTCTTCTTTAACAGCTATCTCCCTATCTTCTTGTTTTCTACAATTCGTGCTTCTTTTATGTAGATGTTTATATTCTGAAGTAATTTTATCAACAAAGGATATTATTCTAAACAAAGTATATGCGATTTTGGTCAACAGCTCATTTGATCATCTTATGTCATGCATCTCTGTGGTTGGATTCGTTGATTTGTGATTGTTTTCTTAATTATATTACAGTTTCACATCAGCACCTTGCAAGTTTCAATCCCATCATTGGCAGCACCCATGGGCTTGGAGACTTCTGAGAAGAGCAAGCTGCCTTCCAAGCTAGAAGCTTCCTTCCAAGAGAAGTATGTCAGTTACGGGTTGGCCTGGTGGGAGGGCATCACGTCGGAGATTCTAAGGACCTTGGATCTCCTGTGCGAGGTCTTAGGCGGGCCAGCTGATGGTCGCCACGGGCCCTGAAGCTCTACGAGGATGGCTAGGAGGAGTTTGGAGAGGGTTACAGTGATTTCTTCATTAAGAGATTTTGGTCAGCATTTTCCCAAATTAATTTTCCCTGGGCCAAATCAAATGTGAGATTTGAAATCAGAAATAGTCTCCTTCGCACAAACTTTGATTTTTGTCACTTCTGTTCCCTTAGAATGGATAACAATCTTTCATTCACAAAGTTAACATCTTTTTTTTTTTTCTGCCTGCTAGTGATGGGAAGATAATCTCCGGCCATGCTGTGGACACCCAGCTGTGTGACGGTCTTTTGTAAGTTCTGTTGTACTGAGCCTGATTGAGACTTGAGGAAGAAGAGGCACAGTGACACACACACACACAAAGCCCCAGGGTCCTGGGAGCCATGAGGTCATTGGGTTATGCAGACATAGCTCCAAGGACTGGGTGTTCGGACAGAAATACTCACCCTGTGCCTTTAGCTGAGGCTGGGAGCTTGCAGCGCTGTCTCCCTCTGAGGTTCTGTGCTTCCAGTTCATTTTCACACTGACTCACTTCTGTGAATCCAGCAGAAAAAGAATAGCAGACACACATTGGGGTGGCGGGGGGTAGGAAAGCTGAAATGATTTTATTTTTTTCACTTTTAAATTTAGTATACTGACCTAATATCTATGTTTATCCAAGCTATAACCTGAATTAAATTTAAACAAGTCTGTTTTCAGAACAGTACTTAAAGATGAATTTTTTCGCACTGTTCACCTTGACTATTAGGTCTGCAGCTCCAGGACTGTATATATGCAGGAAAGCTTGTTTGTATATTATTCCAGTTCTTAGAACGGACTTGGCGCCTTCTGTGTCTTGTCCTTTTCTCTTTCATTAAGCTGATCACACATCCCCGCCTTTGCTTTTTGAGCAAGAACAGCTTTATATCATGGAAGAGTAATGGTGTGAAAGAGGAAGTACCCCGATGTTTATGGCACACTCTGCCATCCCTGTGATATCGTGAACAGCAACTGCACTCGCTCTATTTTCCTGTGCTCCATATTTGTGACGAAACGCTTTGCCAAACAGCAGGAACCGTCACAAAGCAACTTCTGAGAATTGTAAAGTAAAACTTGCATTATTTTATTTTTATGGGAAGAGCTAGCGATACACAGTGCCCGACTCCTCAGCGTCCCCAAGTGTGGGTGTACACGTGGAGGAGACACCGCGGTCCAGGGACACGCCTGGTGCATTTTCCAATATTAACATCACAAGGATGGCGCTAAGTGTTTTTCCAGCTTTTCTGACATTTAGCATTCTTGGCAGGACGCTTAACCACCCCTGCTTTTCAAAGAACTCAGTGTTATAATTTAGTTAAGCACATAAGTGACTGCCCCACTCCAGATTCCCTTTTATTACCCGGATTCAGTCCACACGCAGTTGTAGCTTTTTTTCCAAGATGGTCCCCTGGGGAGCGGCGGCGCTGGAGCCGCTTACGATTAATCCTAAGTATTCTTTATTGTTATTTTTAGAACTTCAAGTCTGCAAAAATCCAGCAGCCTGGGCAATCTGAAGAAAGAGATGGTGGATGGGGTAGGTTTGGGTGGTTATTTTTGTTTTGTTTTGTTTTGTTTGGGTTTTTTTTTTTTTAAAGATCACTGCTTTTCTTCTACTCTGAGAAGAAAATATTTTGGTATTTTCATCTTTGACTATTTTGCAACTAAAACTCTTGTGAAGACTTTGTGATTGCTTTCATGCAAAACTATGAGACAGCACAGGGATGAGTCCCAAGAAGTCTCAGTGTGAAGGGTGAAAAGCCGAGCATGGAATCCCAAACAGGGACTTTAATAAAAATATCTGAGGCATAAGTGAAACTAAAGTTGAATAGCTTCGAGATAGATATGTAGTTTTTAATTTCTTGAAGGGTATGTGACAAATTCTGAGTACGTGACAACCTTGTGTATTGCCTCTTACAGGAAAAGGAGTCACTCTCGAAGCCTTCAGAGGTAACCCAACAGCAACATAAAAATGCATGCAACATCCATGACCAGTAAACTACCTAAATGTCTCCAGTAGACTAAAGCTCTCAGAACCTCAAAAGTATCATGCTGAATGAAAGATGCCAGATACCAAGCCGGCCTGGGAGGCAGTTCCATGGCTAGGAGTATGCGGAAGGAAACTGCTGGCTGCCGGTGGTAGGAGGAGATGGTCAGGTTTTCCCTGACAGTGCTGGAAATGTTGAGGAGCTCCATGGGGACCGTGGTGCCACAGCACGGTGACTGTGCTGGAATGCCAATGGCTCAGGGCAAGGGAGGAAGTTCCGTGTTGTGTGGAGCTGACCCCAACAAGAAAACCAGCTTGTGCACCTGTGTCTCCTCTCCGTCCTCTCCACTTCAAAACGAACCAGAAAGGGCAAGAGAAATTAGAGAAGCAACTTAGTAAACGAACAAACAACCTCACAACAGCTCCGGTGCTGCCGTTGCCAGTTCAGTTGGCTAAACAGCTCAAAAATGGTTCAGGATTATCGTGTCACTTTGTCATCCTCTAATACTGAATATAGCTGGCATCAGATCTCGCTGTATTGCTCATGTGGAAGCTTGGGCCTGTATCGATTGTATCAGCGCCTGTGTGGTGTAGTTATTTGAGTATAAACTTGCTGCCTGGGCTGTGACGTGAGGATTAGAAAAGTGGGCAGTGTGTTCTCGGCATGTGATTCCTGTCCTTGGCAGCACACGGCAAATACAGTTTAAGCCTAAGACTTTCACTTGTCATAAATATTGACAGCCTAAAGCACACAGAGTTCAAATGGATGCAGAGCAGGTTGTTCTCGTTGCTGTTGTTTCTGACGTAACTGCCAGAACTGCCCTTTTGAACTGGACCCTCACTTGGTGTCGGTGGTCAGTGTGTCGATGCAGTCTTTATGTTAAGTAACCTCATGACTGAGCTCGTAGGAGGCAGCCTAGCCTGTCCTGATTCCGGCCCCACCCCCGCCACCACACCGCCGTGCCAGCTTCTGCCCTTGTCGTCCCTTTTCTCAGGACAAGCTTCCGGGGCAGAGCAACACGCTGGGGAGCCTGCCACCCAAGGCTCCGCGCCCCGAGGCCCCTGCAGATGATAACCCCTTTGGGACCCGCAAAGCCAGGGCATCCTTTGGCCGGGGCTTCTTCAAGATCAAAAGCAGCAAGAGGACAGCAAGCGCACCCAACTTGGGTAAGTGTGGTCGCAGCACCTTTGCTTCTGGAAGGAGAAGAGACGAGGCTGTCCTCTCCCCTCCCCTGCCCATTTCTTTCTCTGCAGAAAAGGTCAAGGGTGTAAGAGGGCGGGGTGAGCAGAAAAGGTGTCCTTAGATGGGATTTAGCGATATGAATATTCTCAGGCCCACAACCTTCTCTCTCTCGCTCGCTCTCTGAAATTGGCGGAAAGCCTCAAAACCATACTGGTCCCTGGCGTCCCTGCGGGTCCTTCAGTGGTGGGTAGGTAACTGCGTGGGGCAGTCCCAGTGGAATCTGTGTGGAACCTCAGGGCCAGGTGCCACCCTGCTCTTCCTGTCCCGTGCATCCTTGCTGGGAGTCTGACTGGTGTCCCTTCTGTCACCCCTGTGTTTTCTCCCTGGGGCTCCGTGTGATTGTGTGCGTTGTTGGGATATCTGAAGATCGTAAACGAAGTGCCAGTGCACCCACCTTAGGTATCGTACCCCTGCATGCCAGCCTTTGCCAGCGCTGTGCTGTCAGAACATTCTAACCCTTGCTCTCGCCATCTGCGATCTCTTAGACAAGTGAGCCAGCCAGCAGCAATCACAAAAACGAAAAACAACCCGCAGAGCTGTTTGTCCCAGAGCGTTGCTTATACCTGCTGCTGCCAGGGAGGCCAAAGAGCCTGCGCTGAATGCTACTCCAGGCCTGAATGCTACTGTACCAGGCGCTAATGATCCACAGCCGTGTCTGGGAGCGGCCCTGGGAGCAACAGCATCCCTCGGGGCACAGGGCAGGAGTGTGTGGATGCCACAGGGGTGTACTAGGACACCCACAGGGCATGCACAGCATCACACACTGGCTGCCCAGCACTCCCCTTGGCTCCAGAAAGAAGGGTTTCCTGCCAAAACAGAGAGGCTGTCAAGAGACATGGAAGATGATCATTTTTTAAAAAAAAGACTTATGTATTTTTATTGGAAAGGCAGATTTACAGAGAGAGAAGAAGAGTCAGAGAGAAAGATTTTATATCCACTGATTCACTCCCCAAATGGCCACAGCAGCGCAGCTAAGCCTATCTGAAACCAGGAGCTTCTTTCAAATCTCCCACATGGGTGCAGGGGTCTAAGGACTTGGGCCATCCACCCCACTGCTTTCCCAGGCCATAAGAAAGGTGCTGGATAAGAAGTGAAGCAGCAGAACCTGAACCAGCACCTATATGGAGTCCTGTGCTTGTAGCCAGAGGAATAGCCAGTTGAGCCATGGTGCTGGCCTCTAAGATGATCATTTTTCAAGACATTCTCTTAGGGGAACATTTTCCTGATCTGTCACTGCTTTAGAGGTAGCAGTCACCCCCAGGAAGGACAGAGGTCTGCGTGATTTCAGGAGACAGTCAGCTCAGTTTTCCTCTTTGTAGGCAAAGATACAGTAAGGGGGGGAAAAAGCCCTCAAAATCAAAAGAGAAAAACATACAACACTTTCCAAATGAGGACGACGAAGCCCGACTCTCAGGAACAGCTGTGCCCATCCTGGTGGTGGTGTGAGATGGAAAGATCCCATTAGGTTCTTCGCAACAGGTGCTGCTTCCTCGTACAGATGCCCACAGATCTGCCCACATGGCCCAACAAGGGCAACTACTCTGTTTAATAGTAGCAAGCATCTAGACCGAGCACTGGCTGCACAGGATGCACTGATCTGTCCGGGCCACTGAACCAGAGCCTTCCTGTCACTTTCCCAGAAGTGCATTGCCAGTGTCAGGAGGCCTGCGCTGCTTACCATAACCTCTGATCAGCCACAGCTCTGCTTTGTAGTGAAAGGCAGCCTCTGCCACGTGTGTGTCCTGCCGTAGCACTGTTCTGTGATGTCTGTGCAACTTGGACTCTCCTTGATAGAAAGTCTAAAACCTCACGTGCTGGAGAACAGCAGCCGTCCTGCTCCACAGAGGGACAGCTGGAAGGGCCAAAAAAACGTAGTTCACAAAAACTTAGGCCCACCCAACGCAGTGTTCTGTCAGTACCAAGGCCACAGTAAGTTGGAAGGTCTTCCTTAGTTGAAGGCTTGCTAGAATTAGGTGACTGATTCGTTATAGATGCCAAAGGGGAGGAAGGAATAGGAAGAAAGTGACCTAGGGTTTGAACTTGGGTGACAGAGAGATAATTTGGTTAAAAATTAATTGAATATCAAATAGAAAAAAGTGAGGCAGAGAAGACTGAGGGAAATTGAGTGGATTCGTGGAATCCAAAAGGCTCTGGATGCTCATTTGGCAGTGGGTACTGGAAGACATTGAAGCTGGATGGTGGGGTGGAAGGGCAGGGAGAGAGAGAGAGAAATAGAGAGAGAGAGAGTGTGTTTAGCCAGAGACTTAGGTGGCAGCTACTTAGAAATGAGCAAAGCTTTCTCTGGCTGCGCTGGCAGGAGATCCTTTCCTGGAACCTGGAGCAGGACTGTGGAGTAGAGGAGGAGAAGCAAGCACAGGCCTGCCCCAGGCAAGAGGCACTGTTCAGGGGACAGGCACAGTGTCAGGCAAGATGTGCAAAGGTGGTGCTTTTGAAGCTTGAAACATTCTACTACGGCAGGATGGAGACTAACTTCATTATGAATTCACATTGCTCAAGGAAAGAACATGGCAGCACCACCACATGTGTTTAGTTTCCAAAGGATTCCACTTTTGAGTTAATTAGCTTTGCTCTCAATGGTGTTGACTATAGAGTGGAACACATCTGGGTTACCTGTTTCAACGTGTACAGGGAGCTCTTTCTAACACACCTGCTTGTAGACCAGCAGCAGCAGAAGATTAAGTGGTGAAAACCGAGAAGGTTGACGTCTAGTCATGTTTCTTCCCTACTTTACGATTCATCAAGTCTTTATTCTGTTCTTGGAATAGCTGAAACAGAGAAGGAGGCAGCGGAGCACCTGGATCTGGCTGGGATGGCTTCTCGGCCAAAAGATTCCCAGGGTCCCTTCCAGCTGTCTCCCCCGTCTCCGGATTCCAAAAAGAAATCCAGAGGTATCATGAAGCTCTTTGGCAAGTAAGTACAAGTGAGAAGGTGGGGTGTGCCTTGTCTTGCATGTTGCTCCTGGTAGGCACGGGTGGCGCACTGGCTGAGTGTGAGTGCAAAATTATAGGGCTCTTCTGTCTCTCTTGTGGGAGCAAGATTGTTATTTGGGTTCATTCACTGTTTGCCTTCAGTCACCGTTTCCGTTAAGACATCTTTTAGATATCTACTTAGACTTCTAAGATGTGTGTGCCATTGTTATGCTGCCATTAACAAGCCCAAGGCCCCCTTGTGTCTAATACGCAGCAACGTATGTTGTGTCTTCTTCAGACTTAGAAGAAGTCAGTCCACTACATTCAACCCAGATGACATGTGTGAGCCTGAATTCAAAAGAGGGGGGACCAGGGCAACAGCAGGGCCCCGACTGGGCTGGTCTCGAGATTTGGGACAGTCTAACAGGTAAGAAGCCAAATGGACGGGCTCTTGTGTTGCATGCTTACACACCTGAACTTAGCCAAAGGCTGTGAAGTAATTTTGTGTTGAATCCTTGTGAACACCTGGCATGGTGGGAAAAGCGCTAGAAGCCCTAGTTTGAAAATCTAAAACCTTTTGCCCATCATTATGAAACTACAAATGGAAGAAAAAACAAAATCTCACACCTGAGCTCATGTGACAGGTTGAAGTCTAAATGCAGGAACACTAAAAATATTGTTAAGACTTCCTGTCGAAAGTGTATATGAAACAGAACTAGATGGCATACCTACACTTAGGATTCAGCCCCAAGGCATCTCATCATGTGCATGCAAAAATTTAGAATAACGAATACTCAGCTGCACTGTCCCAGGGTTGTACAATCAAAAGCATTGCTTATTTCTGTGTCTAATGGAAAGGTCTGTTATTTGCTAGAGTGCTAAAACTAGCCAATTTTTTGAACCAAGATAAACACAGAAGGTGTGGACTGTGTGTGCCAAGTAAGGAGTCAAGGCAAAAATGTCAGCTACATCCCCAGAGTGGTGGCCTAGTGGCTAAATCCTTGCCTTGCAACTGCCAGGATATCCTATATGGGTGCTGGTTTGTGCCCCAGTTGCTCCACTTCCCATCCAGCTCCCTGCGTGTAGCCTGTGAAAGCAGTAGAGGATGGCCCAAAGCCTTGGGACCCTGCACCCATGTGGGAGAGCCAGAAGAGGCTCCTGGCTTTGGATCAAGTTAGCTCTGCCCATTGTGGCTATTTGGAGAGTGAAAACAGCAGACTGAAAGGTCTTTCTGTCTCTCCTTTCTCTGTAAATTCGCCTTTCCGATAAAAAATAAACAAATAAGTAAGTCAGCAATGGTTTGGGAACTTGAATTTTATGTAGTCATTATATTAGATGTCCAAGAAAGCAGAGCCTTGAAAGATGGATTTCCATAGTGGTTAAGAGTAGCTTCTAGAATCAAACTCTTTGAACTTAATTTCTGGCCTTACTACTTTCCACCAGCTGACTTCCATGTTCCCTGCCTTGGTTTTCTTATCATCAGAATCATCATCACCATGCACATAATTAGTACCCATCCTGTGGGCCTGGCGGAATAGCCTATTGGCAAAAGTCCTCGCCTTGCATGCATTGAGATCCCATATGGGGACCGGTTCTAATCCCTGTAGCCCTGCTTCCCATCCAGATCCCTGCTTATGGCTTGGAAAGGCAGTCGAGGATAGCCGAAGGCCTTGGGACCCTGAACCTGCATGGGAGACCTAGAAGAGGCTCCTGGCTTCGGTTGGCTCAGCTCTGGCCGTTGCAGCTGCTTGCGGAGTGAATCAACGGGTGGAGGATCTTCCTTTCTGTCTTTCCTCCTCTCTGTATATCTGACTTTCCGATGGAAAATAAAATAAATGTAAAAAAAAAAAAGTAATAATAATTAGTACCCATCCAAAAAGGTGGTAGGGTGGATTAAATCAATTTATGCGCGTTAAGAACTACTGGCCATAATAAGAACTACTGAAGGCGCATAACGACATAAGTCCTATAGGGATTCTTGGGTTTACCAAAGGGATGTAATGTTTAGTCTGTTAGTGCTCTAAAAATTTGCCACAGTCATTATTAGGGTTTGGAGTGATCTGAGACTTGTGCGCCAACATACTGAACAGAAAAGGGCAGGGTAAACAGGCAGGGTCCAGGGCGTTGGTGCTGAATCTTATAGGTTGGGCTGGAAGGCTTTTCAACACAGTCCCTCCCACATGGGCGGAATGTTGTTTTGGTCAAGGGGACTGTGGCTCAGGAGCAAACTCTTTTTTCAGATACCAGTAGTATCGTTTGCCATCTGTCTTTGTACACAGGGGAGGACTTTGTTGTGCCATTTTAGAGTCATGAATATCTTTACATTTGTTTCCAAACAGCAGCACTATTTTGTATATCAACAAAATAAGAAATCCTGCCTGGGTGTCTCTTTTTTCTTGTGCTCGGTGGTGACATCTCCTTGACTGCTCTCTTGCCATCCGGAGAGAAACCGTAATTCTGCTAAAGTTAGGCTTACACTTCTTTTAGCATGAACAGTTTCTGGGGGGTATCCAGCCTTGAGACAGCACTGCCTGAAACTGGTGTAGTGGTTCATGCTGGTTGAGCTGCGTGGTCTGTGAAACACATCCATGTGAAAGCATGTCAAATGTTCTGTGGTTTCATGAGACACAAAGCAAGTGATCTTAGGGTACTTTTCAACTCCCGTATCGCTTCTTGCCGCCCAAGTAGGCATTAACCAGGAAGCTGTGTCGCCAGGGAATTTCCTTATGTACTGACCCAGTGTGCAGTTGTTTGAAACTGATGATAAAACATGGCTTGGCTTTCAATCGCTCTTTGTGTGGCTGTTTGCTTTCCTGCAGTGACTTGGATATGCCGTTTGCCAAATGGACCAAGGAGCAAGTTTGCAATTGGCTCGTGGAACAGGGCCTGGGGTCCTACCTGAATTCTGGCAAGCACTGGATCGCCTCTGGCCAAACACTTTTGCAAGCCTCTCAACAAGATCTAGAAAAGGTGATCACTTCCCTGTGTTGTTTACAGACAAGCTGGGGAAGCAAATGTGAACATAGGGTTGTTTTGTATTATAGAAAGTGGTGTGGGTGGAACCAGCAAGAGCTTTTGAAAAAGTCTGGGTTTCTGACTGCTTCCTGCTTGTTTTATATTGTGAGCTGCCAAAGAAGGACCTGGCCTTGATGCTTCTGTAGGGGACCCTTAAGCTGTGGGGCACTAAATTAAAAATGATAATTCAATCACAATAACCTTAAACTTATACCTCTTTAAAATCATTCTGTGGCTTTATCTTCTCCATGTGCAATTCTGTGCAAAGAGATAAAAAGATGTGTCCTGCATTTTATGTTCACATGTTACACATTTTTCCCCAGTTAGCACTTTGCACAAAGTTAAGAGTGAAATCATCATTGGGGTGCTTCAATTTCTTCCTCACAAAGAAAATGAATCACCAGGGAATGTCTCCCACAACCCTGAACTGTTTGTGGTGGTCTTGGCTTCCTAGGGGCCATTTGTTCAGCAACATTGCAACAAATCACTCTTCTAACTTCATGTAGAATTGGGTCTCTGATGCTGGAATCAGAATCCATTGATGGTGGTATCCAACCTGTGAGGATGGAACTGTAAAGTCGGTTCTTCCGTTTGTTGTCCCAGGAACTCGGAATCAAGCATTCCCTTCACCGAAAGAAACTACAGCTGGCCTTGCAAGCTCTGGGATCCGAGGAAGAGACCAATCATGGCAAGCTGGACTTCATCTGGGTCACGAGTAAGAGAGGTTTACACTGTTAAAAAAAAAAAAAATAAGTGCTGCTGCTTTCTCTTTGCTCACCAGAACAGGTGTTCATTCCTTGGCCTTGTGAACACTGCTTACTCTCCTTCAGGATGGCTGGACGATATTGGCCTGCCCCAGTACAAGACCCAGTTTGATGAAGGACTGGTGGATGGCCGGATGCTACATTATATGACCATTGTAAGTGATTTGCTCTGGGGTTTAGGGGAGTAAGCAAACTAGAATGTTTTCACCGTGACTTCCAGTGGACTCTTTTGGGAGGTGACAGGTGTACTTTGTGTGAAGTTGAAGTTGCCAGGGTTTGCAACAGCCTTGAGATGCTCTGAAGTGCCCGGGTAGGCTTATTTACACTGAGCTAGCCAGAAAGTGGATGTCTTGTTTATTCAGCAATGTAAACGTTGGAGTGTCCTCCCTGGGTGAATTTTACGGTGTGAATGACAGTTCATAAACATATTTTAAAGTGGAAGGTGGGGCTTGGAAGCCCTGGCAGCTTGTGGGTTATGCATTCTCGTATGCAAGGACCGTTCAGCAGAATTCTCCCTCTGACCTCACAGCCCATGGCTAGAAGGGCTGTTCCCTGCTCAACAGCAGTGGGAGCGATGGATCTCAGAACAACCTTATTATGCATTCTTCTCCCCTTAAAGATACTTTTGTTTAAAAAGCCTCTTGTGAGCTAGGCTAAGCACCAAGCCACCACGGGTATCTCCTTGAAATATGTGGAAAGTTTCGACCATCTAAGTTGTGTAGGCATTTCTCAACATCAGAAAAATTGGGAAGTGCAGACATTTGATCTTATGGCTGATAACAGCCTTGTCTCAGAGTGCTTGAATTCGATTCCCAGCTTCAGTTCCTGATTCTAGCTTTCTGTACATTCAGACCCTGGGAGGCAGTGATAATGGTTCTGGTGACTGGGTTGCTACCGCCTGCTTAGGAGTCCTGGATGAGGCTCCTGGCTCCTGGGTTCACCCTTTCCCCCTTCCCCAACCATTATGGGCCTTTGAAGAATGAATCAGCAAATGGGCACTCTCCCTTTCTCTGTCTCTCAAATAAGCAAGTTAAATGAAATATATTGACATGGGCTTCACAAGAGGAGGGAGAACTCTGAAACTCAGCTCTGGGGTTTGTTTGCTTCTCTTGGCGTTGGACCAGGGTCCCTCCCTTGGTGGGCACATGCTATAAGTCTGTGTGGATGACCCCAGGACATGTGGTACATGACATTGTGCCAGGTGTGCCTCCGAGCGTTCTCCTCATGTTAATACTCAACTCTGTTTATAGACAAGGAAACAAAGGAATTGAAAGATTAGAAACCATGTTTCCACAGTTAGAAAGTAGCAGAAACTAAGAGTGTTTTGAACCCGAGCTATTTTCAGATCCATGCTTATAATAGCTCACTGTTCCGTGTGGAACACATTCAGTAAATATTTGCCTGCTTATCTAGGTGGGAGTGTGTTTCCCTCCAAGTGTGAGCAAATTCAGGCTTAACATTACAGGCAGCACACAGACAGGTTATATGATCAAAAAAAGAGAATAACTCACCTTGGGAAAATCGACCCTAGATATTCCAAGTTAAAAAAAAAAAATCTATTTTTACTGTGGCTTCAAAGATTTGATCCTGGGACAGAAAAAGGACTTTAGTGGAAGAATTAATAATGAAGTCTGTAGTTTTTGATAAGTGCACCATGGCTATTTAAGATACAGAAATTGGGCAAAAGGTATACTTAGGACAATGTATTATTTTGGCGTCTTTTCTACACACCTAACACTTTTTAAAGCAAAGTTTTTAAGAATCTGGAGGTTTAAAAAGTTTCAAAACAAAGGTTGTTTTGACTTAAGTCTATGGTAAAAGAATCCCTCCTTTTAAAAAAAAAATCTTCAAAATATAAAGATTTCCCCAAAGGTTAGCATTCTGTTTACATTGCAATAATTATACACTCAGGTTTCTTAAAAACAAGAACCACCACCTCATAGATAAAAAGATGCAGTGAAGTGTTTGTAATACATTTCTAAAATGGTTACATTTATTTTTAAACTTCTTATAAGGTATTGCTTTTAAGAAATTAACCTAGAAAATTACCAGGCAATGATTTTTACTTAATAGCCTTAAAGATTTATAAGATTGCCTGATGTTTTTATTTGAAAAAAAAAAACATTTCTATAGTAGATTAAGAAGCATGTTATCAGAAAGGCACGCCTGAAGTGTGTGTCTTCCTTGTTGATGTTCTGGGTGTGTTTGGAAGTAGACAAGGGTGCTTATCGTTCTCCTGTTCCCCCTGTCTGTCTCTGAACTCATTGGTTTGGTCTGTTGGCACGTAGGAGAAAGTTTCCTTGCAAGGGGTTGAGATCAGTGTGAAACATCGATGGCTTGTGACTTGTCACTCTCCCCTTCACTTTCACCAACACCTTTGTGCTGGTTGACATTGAGTATCCGAGATGCGGGATCATCTGGGGCTAGAGCAGTTGTAAGGCCAGAGCACGGTAGAGCAAAAGCATTCTGAGTTACTCTCCATCTCCCGTGGGCTGCCTTAGTTAGCAAAGCCACACTCTGATCTTGGAGGAACTCGGTTGGCTCTGAGCCATGCACTGTGAAAGGGACTTGGGGCCGTGCCTTGAATTGTGCTCAAGTACCTGCTTTGTCTGCAGACAATTTTGACACTTGAGGAGACAAACCATAACAAGTGAATCTGAGCAATGGCCTGGCGCAGTGCAGCGTGATGGAAACAGGAATTGATCTGAGCCCCAGGAAGCTGTTGATTCAGAGCAGGAAGGGTGGTTCTGGGGTTGGCGGGGCTCCCTCTGCCAGCGGGCACAGCCAGCGCCTCCCTTTGCTGCTTCCCACAGGACGACTTGCTGTCACTGAAGGTCGTGAGCGTGCTCCACCACCTCAGCATCAAAAGGGCCATCCAGGTCCTGCGCCTCAACAACTTTGAGCCCAACTGCCTGCGGAGGCGACCCTCTGATGAGGTAGCGTCTCTCCCAGCCCCTCACCACAGGGAGGTGTCTGAGCATGCGCTTTGCACATTGGCCTGTGTCCAGCTGTGTGTGCAAGACTGAACGGAGGCCGAGGGGTGTCTCTGGGGGACTCAGATCCAGGCTCATTCACTCCAGAGCCCTGATGGTCACCACTATGGCCCTGAAACCCAAGTAGTTTTTCAGTTTTGCTTTCTTCTTCTGTATCTGTGTGATGTTTCCCTGGTGTGTGTGTGTGTGTGTGTGTGTGTGTGTGTGTGTGTGTGTGTGTGTGTGGTGTTTCCATGTCTCCTTAATCCACACCATGAGACCATCACCATGAAGACTCCCTCTCTTAAAGCAACATTTCCTTAGTGCATAAGGAAGCTGTAGGAACTCTGTGGCACAAACTCCTTAAAAGAAAATTAGGAAGCAGGCGCTTAGCCTGGTGGTTGAGACATGGGTGTCGAGAGTCCTGCACACATGTCAGAGTACCTGGGGTGGAGACCTGCCTCCAGCTCCTGGCTCCAGCTTCATGCCAGTGTGCACCCTGTGACGCAGCAGTAAACAGTAGATTAAGTCGTTAAGATCCCTGCTGCCCACACGGGAGTACCAGATCGAGTTACTGGTACCTGGTGTCAGCTCCCGCTGTTGCAGAGAGCAAATCAGTAGGTGGGACTTTCTCCGAGGAGTGTGTGTGTATGTGTCTCAGTAATCAGTGTAAAAGACTGAGAGTTTGGATTGGCAAGCACTTATTCCCTTCTTGGCACATTCAGCGGGATGTCGAGTAACTGCACTCGCGGGGGCAGGTTTTATAGAGCCTGCAGGTTTCCTAGTGAGGTTCCTGCAGGTGGCTGAAGCCGGTGGCTCTTTGTTCCCACAGAGCAGCATCACTCCCTCCGAGGTTCAGCAGTGGACCAACCATCGAGTGATGGAGTGGCTGCGCTCTGTGGACTTGGCTGAGTATGCCCCCAATCTCAGAGGTAGCGGCGTCCACGGCGGGCTCATGGTAAAACCCTGTTTCTGCTTTAATGCTGACCCCTCGTTTCCTTAGTGTCAGGAGTAGGGCATTCCGGGTCCCTGATCTGAAAGTCAGAATGCTGCAGAATGCGCAACTCTGTAAGTGCTGATGTGACAGTGTCAGGGGAACATCCATGCCTGACCTTCATGGGACAGGTCACAGTCCAAACATGGATGGCACCTGAAATACTGCACCTTCATGTAAGGTGTAGGAGGCGTCTGTGAAGCATCGAATTTCATGCTTAACCTTGGGACCCACATCCAAACAGCTCATTATATATTTGCAAATATTCCAAAGTTCAGAATCATCCCAAATCTGAAACCCTTCTGGTCCCAAGTGTATTTCAGAGAAATACTTGTGTGTTTGTCACAACACTAGCCTCATTTAGCCCAACTCTGCTGTGTTGTTTTGAGTGACTCTTTCAGAGTCCTTCCAGTCATAGCCATCACTGGAGATGGGCTTCAAACCCACTTCTCTTTGGTATTGAACACTATGTGGCCACGGTGCTTCTTGTGATCACATGGTAAAACCTTCAAACAGGTATAGACTGTGCTTCTAGAGAGCTCCCCTGATGTGGTACGGGCAGCAGTTTGCATTTCCAAATGAGCCCTGTCACTTGCTTGCTCACTCACTGGATCAACGTCCATGTCCCATTTGTCTCTCTCAGCGTAGGGGTTTGGGGAGAGGGGTAGTCACTGGAGGGAACCTTGGTGAACGACAGAGCACAGTGCACATGTGGCCCCATCGCGTCTGACTCCTCCCGCAGGTGCTGGAGCCGCGTTTCAATGTGGAGACAATGGCTCAGTTACTGAACATCCCACCGAACAAGACCTTGCTGCGGAGGCACCTGGCCACTCACTTCAACCTCCTGATTGGCGCCGAGGCCCAGCGCCAGAAACGAGACGCCATGGAGCTGCCTGATTACGTCCTCCTCACAGCCACGGCCAAAGTGAAGGTGGTTCTGGCTTGTCCTGTTCTGTGGCTGCCCGAAGCAGAGGCTTTGGTTGTGGCTGTTAGCCTGGGAGTTCTGTTTTCTGTGGTGTGTGGGTTAAATGACTAGGCATCGATAAGAGAAAGCATCTGGAAAGGTTTCTGCTTGAGAAGTGGGCTTACTTGGCATTAGCAACAACAAAGGAGTGTGATGCTGGCTTATGCCATTGACATGTTTCCAATGCAGCAAACCCAGGGCGTGGTTCCCGGTCATTTTGGTTTTTACATAATCAAACTAAGACACTATGGTACCTCTCTCAGCAGGTGCAGTATCTGTAGCTCATTTCTGACCAACCTTAAGTGTCAGGAGTAGATCCTGATGAGATGACTCCAGATAGACCAGCCAGGAAGGGCTGTTTCCTCATGCCTCTGGACTTGTGGGTCATCTCCAACTCAGAGGGCTACTTCTTCTTTTAAATGCTGCTGACATCAGCCCTCTTGCAGGTGCCACCTCAGTGGCTTTAACAGGAAACAGCAGGGGACTTCAGAAAGCCCCCTAGAAAAATGGAATTATCTAAGTGCAGAAAATGTTTGAAATCTGTACCTTTTTCATACTTCCTGTGTTCTATGAACTTTTTAAAGACCCTATGCATGTGCCAGGTTTTTTCTATTTGTGTTGTACCCCTTCTGCCTGTCTTCTCCTCACATCACTTTTCTTGTATCAACAACTCATCGTTATTGGTATTTTGTGCTGCGAGTTCTCTCAAATATCCAGATTTTTTTTTTGTTTGATTTTCTTTTAAAGCCAAAGAAATTGACCTTCAGCAATTTTGGGAATCTGAGAAAGAAGAAACAGGAAGATGGGGAAGAGTATGTTTGTCCCATGGAACTGGGACAGGTGTCGGGGAGTGCATCTAAGAAAGGATTCAAGCCTGGCCTGGACATGCGCCTCTATGACGAGGATGACCTGGACCGTTTAGAGCAGGTGAGCGAGCCCTGAGCACGGTGCACGAACGCCTCCTGGCTCCTGGCTCTGCACATCCCGCCATGTAGCACGTGCGCCGATGCAGGATGTCTAAGGAGAAAGCAATAGCAGTAACCAACACTGAGACTGCTTACCGCATTCTGGCAACCGTCTGAGCGAGTCCTCATGGCACTGGTGTTGCTATCCTCATTTTAAAGATAAGCCAGCCAGGTGTGAGGATAGGTAACTTGCCAACGTCCTCTTACCCCTCAGGCTGGCTCCAAGCCTGTGCTGTTCAAGTCAGTAGCCCATGATGTCCCTGCTCTGTGTCAAGGAAATGTAAACATTAAAGCAAAACCTCTGGGCAAGTGTTTAGCCTACAGGTTAAAGACATCCGTTGAGACACTCATGTCCCACATCCTAGTCCCCAGGTTCAACCTCTTGATTCCATCTCCCCACACATACAGACTCAGGAAGGCAGTAGGCATGGCCTAAGTCGTCAGCTTCGTCAGGTTCCTGTCACCTGGGTGGGAGACACGGCCTTTCTGACTCTCAGGCTGATTCATTCTGGTCCAGTCCCTGCACCAGCGGTGGCTGCTGGGGAGTGAACCCAGCAAATGAGTTCTCTCTTAGTCTCTGTCCTTCCCTCCCTCTCTGCCTCTCAGATGAATAAAATTTTTTGAAAAGTCCAGGCCTGGACAGATTGCCATCCACACTCCATAACCCTTTGATACCACCATGAATCCTGAGGCCAGCTGTGTCAGTACACCCCTTTCGCCTCGTGTCCCCTTCGCTTTGTGGTCACCGAGAAAGGGCCGTCGGCACATGTGCTCTGCTGCAGCTACCGCATCAATGCCATGGGCCCTTGTTTCTTCTCTGACTCGAGTTCATGTCCCCGTACTTCCTTCCAGATGGAAGATTCAGAAGGGACGGTGAGGCAAATAGGCGCGTTCTCCGAGGGCATCAACAACCTGACAGTAAGTCTGTGAGGTGAACGGCCAAGGTCATTCAGATAAGGCCACAGGACCGCCTGTGCGCCTGGGGCGTGGGGTGGGATGTGCAGCTCTGAGCTGCTGGCCCCTCTCAGTGACTCCCCGTCTGCGTGTTTTACAGCACATGCTCAAGGAGGACGACATGTTTAAAGACTTCGCCACCTGCTCCCCCAGCACCAGCATCACGGATGAAGACTCCAATGTCTGACCTTGGTGCGGGGTTGCACATTAGGAGCCCTTGGCCCTTCTCCCTCCGCATTCCTCCAGCACCCTTGGCATGCACAACCGGCAGTGGATTGCATGTGTCCATTCAGTCCAACTTCGGCCCCTCAGAGAGCAGAAATGAAAAGCAGAGGCCATGCACCTGTCATGACGTTACTGCACAAGGGGACGCTGGTGAATGAGGCTCGGATTGTTTTTTTGTCTATTTAATATAAAAACCTGTGATATGGTCTATTTAAAGCGTTGCATTTACACTGCGTATTTTGCCACGATGTCTGCATCCGTTCACATGCCTGGGATGGAGGAGCCATGAGGCAGTGACTAAGGATGGGATTGCTGAGGTCACATCAGGCCTCGATGCCGTCACACGAGTGAATGGCACGCCGCCATGCTTCAGTCGGCTCTGCGGATTGTCTCGAAGCAGTTGGTGTGCCTCCCCAGATGCCAGCCACAGCTCCACTTGCCTCTTGTCGTCCTACTTGTTTTTATATATTTTTTCTAAATATATGTGTGTATAATATATATATATATATATACAGTACATAGATAGAAGTTTTATTTTGTGACATAAGGAAGGTGGGTGGTAAGATCACATTTTTAAAAAACAAAAAGCAAAATAAACAAAAAAAAATTAGTCATCAAAATGTTCATATTCCAGCTGGTTCCAGAAGCATCCCAGTACTCCATCTTCTTCGATGACTGAATTTTAACCAAATTGATTCATCGGGTTAAATGCTTGTATATAAAATATTTTTATAGAGATGCATGTATAAAAAGTATTTTGTATACTTAAATGTGTGTAAATAAAATAGCCCTCCGGTGGCTCAGCAGGATGGCATGGGACAGCTGAAGGTCATCATGCCGGACCTGGGATCCCCTTAGCTCCTGATGAGGATGGTCACGGGACTTGATGTCTTAGATGTCCTTTTAGCTGAGATGCCTTCAGGGTCACTCTTCCCCCCACCAGGCAAGATTTATACACATAATTTTTAAACAAACCAAAAGCAAAGCAAAAACTTTGACAGTATTAAGCTTTTAATTTCCCTTCTTTGTTCAGTTCATCACAGTACTGGCATCAGCCTATGCACGTTGCTTGTACATTTCCTGGGCGATCAGCAAATGGGGCTTTTTGAACAAGCTAGCTCTTTGTCAGCTTGTTTGGATCAGAGTTCTAGCAGTGTTGAGGCAGCCAGGACGGCTCTCTGTTGGCTGTCTGGTGCAGATAAAATGTAGTTGGTGTTCTTCTGTGACACCAAGACACGTGGACATGTGAACGCTGCTGCGAACACTATGACTCCATTGCTTTTATATTTTTAGGAGTATTTGGAAGAATCTTCTGTTTCTCATTTAGTGCTACACAAGAACTGATTGGCAGCCCACCCCAGGAAAGGCAGGATTCCAGCAAATGGAGTGGAGGTGAGCAGTCTGGTGTATGCCAAGCGACTTTGCTTAGGAATTATGTTGAAGAGCTGTGGTCTTGTAAACTACCAGTAAGTAAGCAAGCTGTTGGGCAAGAAACCTGTAATACTGACTGTATTTATCCATAACCAGAATGACCTGATACTCAGTCGTCTCCTTTTGAGTTCTGCCATTCCTGATGTATTAATATTAGACTCTTGTTGTCTTTTGGGTTTTACTTGGCTGTGAATTTATGTCACTGTTTAAAAAGCTCCCTTTTCTTATCAGAACCTGGCTAAAAATACCAGGAGACTGTTACAAATGCCAAATATTCATTGTTCAGGACAATACAACATAACTGATGTAGTAAGTTCAAAAGATTTTTGATGATATATTTTATTTACAAAATATTACACATTGATGGTGTTGCCATGTGAAAGGAAATAAAGTCAGCTGATAATTGCCTTGTATTTTTGCTGTTGTTATTCATCTTTGGTCCAGGATGACAAATGGACTTTTGTTTCTGATTTGAAAAACAATAAGCAAATCTGTCTAAAGTTTGAATGCCTGTAGGCTTGAATGAGGTTCTGAATGTGTGTCCACACAAAGAAGTTTTTAAGCAGACTATTTGTAGAAAGGGGTAGATGGTTCTCCTGGTTGTAACCTTAGCTACAATTTGGAAAGAGGAAGTATCTTTTGGAAGATGAGTCAAGTGACTGTAATCCGGACAAGAACAGGTGTTTTGTACTCCAAGTTGTTATCTCCATCTCAGTAGACCAGGAGGAAAACGTGAGACTGCGACACACCCAGTGGGCAAACAGGGCGGCCCTGTGTGTTTGTGGAGTCAGATATATATAAGCTTAACTGCACTGAGTCAGCTGTAGAGTTAGGAGCCTGGGAGCACATTAACAGATGTGACTTCCGTGTATAACCTGATCATATTGATCAGGTGCAGACAGAATGGGGCAGAAAACCTCACAACAGCTGGCCCTGAAGGACGGCAAGGAGGCTGTCCGTGTCTGTGAGGTGGTCAGCGGAGCCATGGTCCACGCGGCCCGGAAACTGGAGGAGTACCTGGGCTTTGAATATCCCGTGAGTAAACTCCGCCCAGCTGCCGAGACCCTCAATGAGATCTTCTTAATCCACTTCATCACCTTCTGCCAGGAGAACGGAGTGGAGGAGTGGCTAACCACCACCAAGATGACCAAGCACCAGGCCCTGCTGTTTGGGGCCGACTGGGTCTGGACCTTCTGGGGCTCCGATAAGCAGGTGAAGCTTCAGCTGGCCGTGCAGACGCTGCAGATGGCTGCTCTTCCTCTCGTGGAACCCACACTCCACGACCTCCCCAGCCCAGGGCCGAGGCTGGAGGAACCATTGGGGAAGAGAAGTCGGTTGGAGAAGTTGGACGAGTTCTGCAGATTGATAGGGGAGGATTGTCTGGGCCTCTTTATCATCTTTGGTGTGCCTGGGAAGCCACGAGACATCAGAGGGGTAATCCTGGACAGCGTCACAAGTGATATGGCCAGGAGCCATCTGCCAGGACAGGAGGCAGTGGCACGATTTGTCCTTGACACGGAAAAGTGTGTCTCCATCAGAGAGCTGCTTGGGAACTGTCTGAGTAAGAACAACGGGCTGAGGGAGGTAGGCAAGGCTTACATTAGCATCCTATGAACTGCGTGAATGCGGCCTGGCAAAGGGAAAGAAACTAACGCTGGGGCCAGTGAGATGGCTCAACTGGCTAATCCTCCACCTTCAAGCACCAGCATCTCACATGGGTGCAGGTTCTTGTCTCACCTGCTCCACACTTCATCCAGTTCCCTCCTCCCTGCTTGTGGCCTGGGAAAGCAGTAGAGATCAATCCAAAACCTTGGAACCCAGCAGTTGTGTGGGAGACCCAGAAGAAGCTCCTGGCTCCAGATTAGCTCAGCTGCAGCCATTACAGACATTTGGGGAATGAACCAGAGGATGGAAGATTTTTCTTGGTCTCTTCTCTGTAAATCTGCTTTTCCAATACAAATAAATAATTTTTTTTTAAAGCATACATTGTATTTCAATAAGCAAGCTCATTGATGGGTGCAATTCTGGTATGGATTTTTTTTTTTCCTTATTGATTGACTGTGATTACCTGGGCCAAAATCTATTCATGTCACAGTTAATGGGGAAAAAGGCACTGGCTGTGTTTTAGGAGGTTTGTGATTTAACCCTTCATTCAGTTACTCAGTAATAAAGTGGAAGGAGAGAATAATAAGGTCATGTTTGGAGTCTGATTTTGGAAAAAAAAAAACACGGTGTCCTTCTTGGAGATGGTGAAAGGGCGAACTCTGAAGTGTGAGCTGTGTTGTCCCTGCTGGTGGATGGATGGAGGGTTCAGTGATGGGGTGGCGGGATTATAGGACAGGTTTCACTCCACTTGGGATTCCACTCCCAAGTCAGGGCTCCTGAGTGAGCCTCACATCACCCTGTCCCTCACCCTTCCTCACCCCTGTCTCCTCCCCCCTACACACACACCCTGCCCCCTTCTCTGCTTACTCCTGCTCTCCTGCCCCCTGGCTTGCAGTCAGAACACCCCATGGAGAGGACCAGATCAGAGGAAGGAGTCAGGAGTTAGCACCCTGTTCTCTCCCCATTGCACCATCTTAGCCTGGATGGCTCCTGCCCGTCTGGTCCTTCCCTGTCTCCATCAACTTGCTGGTTGTGTGCCAGCCTCTGTGAGCCCCTCAAAGTTGGCCTTGGTAGGTGCCCATGCTCATGCGCTAAGCCTTTCTGAGGGCAGCATTTGATTTCTTCCAGAACCTTCCTGTGTGCTGAGTTTCTGGAAACAGGAGATGACAAGGGCTACCGTGTAGGCCTGCTGTCTGTCACATGACATGAAGATGTGCAATAATCCCACTGCATTCTGGGCTATTTCACAGGATTCACAGGAACCAAGAGGCACGTGTGTAATTTCAGAGAGCTCTCCTTGGCCTCTGTAACAACCTTCCCATGAGCACTCTCTGACAGCATACCCAGAGACCCAAACACCTCTCACCAGGCCCACACTCCCCAACAGTTCTAGTGCCTCCCAGTACTGCCACCTTGGGGACCAAGCCTTTCACACATGGGTCCTTAGGGGATGTCCAAACCAATCTCCAAAACATAGCAGTCCTGGGGAAAGGGGAAAAAGGGCTGCTGTAATCCCCGCTTCCCACTGCACTGCAGTTAAGTGGGGGAGTCATATACAATGCTTATCTGTGCACACTGTAAAAACGACCTGTCGGTTGAGAAGTCCGTTTCTTTTCCCTGCTGGCAAGGTCTCTGACAGCACCACTCAAGCTCAGCTTTTGCGATCTGGGTGAATTCAAGGCTTCAAGGTGCAAATGCCAGCTCCATACTGTGTCCTAACGAGTTGAGCTGCTGCCTGCAGTGCCAGCATCTCACACAGGCAGCGGTTTGAGTCTTCCCTGCTCCACTTACGATCCAGTTTCTGTTAATGAACCAGGGAAAGCAGCAGCAGGTGTCTCAAGTACTTGGGTCCCCGGACCCAACTGGGAGACCTGGAAGAAGCTCCTGGCTCATGGCTTGTATCTGGCCCAGATCTAACCTTTGCAGTTATATGGGTAGTTAATCATTGGATGGAAGAACTCTTTCAAATAAATTTTTAAAAAAGTGTAAATGTCAATTCATGCTATGTTAATGGTGGCAGATAAACATTCTATGCATACATTAAAATGTGTATTTAGAACACAGGAAGGTAGGTAGCAGGTACTGGCCTGGCAGCCAAGACACTGGTAAGGATGCCGCTGTGTCACACACTGAATTCCCGGGTTCAGCTCGTAGCTCTGACCCCAGATGCCCACTAATACACCCTCGAGAGGCAATGGTGATGCACTAATACTCAGGACCCTGCAGCACACACAACAGACCTGGAGGGTTCCTGATGCTCAACTTCTGCTGTCCCACATCCATGAACATGTAAGTGAAGTACTGGCTCAGAATATTCTTTCTCTGACCTCTAATGATGATGGAGCGGGGGGTGGGGGGAGGAAGGAATCATCAATGCTACATACATTGTTATAGGTGTGTATTAAGGGCGCCGTTAAGGAAAGGTGTGAGCTAGAGGTTAGAGGGCAAAGTGCTTTACTGTGTTCTATTTTGTAGGAATAACGGGATGTTTGTGCGGCCAGCAGAACCAACGGACGGCGACTGTTGCCAGTACGTGTCCATCTCAGTCCTGTATCAAACACACACCAGCCTCCATTAAGATCCCACAGCTCCTAAAACGCGGAGGTTTTAAAACTTGAGCGTCTGTCTTTCTAATCGCCACGGGTCCCGCCTCTCGCCCCTTAGCGCCGATCTGTTTTGCACTGGCTAAGTTCATGTTGCTGTCGCTCTTTTTACACGACGTCTTCCGACGTGAGGGAACATCTGGGCTCCTTCCGGCTGCCAGGCTCGCGCGCTTCCTGTCGCTCCACCCTAAGGGGCGGGGCCAGAGGCGCGCGCAAGCGCCCTCTCGCCGGGTGGCGTGTGTCCCTTGCGGCGTCCCGTCCTCGCAGCCATGGCGGCCGCCGCGCTCGTGTGGCGGGCCATCCTGCACCCGCGGGCCCGGGTCCTGCGCGCCTTCTCCGCGGCCGTGTCGCCGAGCGCTCCTGCTGCGGAACCTAGTCCGCGTGAGTGCCTGCCGCGCCGCGTCCGGGGCTTTGGGGCTGGCCCGGCGAGCGGGAGAAGCGCGCGTGCGGGGTGACCTCTGCGCTCCCCTGCCCGGTGCCCTGCGCTCTCGCGGTCACACACTCTTCGGCCAGGGTTTTTTTGTTTGTTTGTTTGTTCTTTCTTTTCCTGAACATGAAGGAAGGGCATGCGGCCGCATGGGGAGGCTCCCACGCAGCGGACGAGGGGCTGAGGTGACCGGCCGCTCCTCAGGCAGGCGCCAGGGTGCCGGATGGATGGCGTCGGGTGCCCACGTGGACGGAGGGACGGAGAAGGGGATGTGGCGGCACGGGGTCCCCAAGGGCCTGCTCTCGTTCTGTTCTGTGGGTTTGGACTCGCCCGGGAGGCTTTGAGCAGAAAGGTCATCCGTTGTGAGGGAGCGGAGGCCAGGGACCCAGTCGAGGCTGGTGTTGGGGTCCGGTGGGTTAAGGAGGTCTAGGCGGTGTGGTTGGGTAAGGGCGTGCTTTGAGGTGCACCTGACGGGGCTGGCCCGTGGATTTGACGGGGGACGACCACGTCTCAGGCCGCCGCGTGTTTTTGTCCCGCACAACTGGATGCGGCGCTCTTCCATTCACAGGGGTCAGGCAGACTGGACGAAAAGACAGCCAGCGCTCTGCCGAGCTCGCACGGTGGCTGATAAATTTGTTAACTGCCTTTCCCCCCCTCCTCAGCTGTTTCTTCTACTGTTAAATTTCAGCCTTGTTGAATCTTTATTTTCTCTGATTTTCTGTATTCTCTTGCACTCGAAACTTTTCTCCCCTCGCCATCTCTGTGGCTCCCCTCTTTGCTCACCCTGCAGGTGTCGGCTTGAGGTTTACTTTCTCCCTGGAGGATTTGCCTAACTCTGTTAGAGTCACACTGGAGGCACAGTGCTGGGTCCAGGGGCTGGGGAAGCCACAGTTCTGACGTCCAAGGTGGCAGAGGGAACCCCAGCTCCAGGGCAGAGTGCCCATCACCGGCTTTTTGTTCTGTCAGGGTCCCAGACCTCGGGGATGGTGCCCACCCAGCTTGTCCATCCTCTCCCTCACCGTTATTCTCTGGAGACACCTCCCACAGCACCCAGACGTGTTCCCAACTCCCTGGGCATCCCCTAGTGGAGGCAAGTTGACACTTGAAGTGCATGCACAGTTAACACACCCGCACACAGACTCGGTTCATTTCCCTGCTCTCCATGTTCCACTTGATGGAAATGACCTGTCAGAAGGATGTTTTGTGCGACAGGCTGCGTTGTGGAGAGCAAGGATTGACTGGGTCCTGGTTTCTCACAGCATCACTCATTGTAGATGAATGAGCACAGAGACTTGTCAGAGGAAGGAATGGGAGGAGAAAGGAACAGGAATGAGGCGGATGGAGTGGGGAGTATATTGCAGGCAGAGAGCATAGCAAGTCCTGAGATGGCTGAAGGCCGGGTCTGGGAAGGCTGGCCAGCTGTGTAGCATTCCTCAGAAAGGGTGGAGGGACTGGACGGGACACCAAGTCTGACGTCCTTAGCCCCTTGCTCCTCACTGGTTTCCTGATGGAAAGTGGTCTCCAAGTAAGGATAATATATTTGTTTCAGTGAATAAAATTAAAAGGAGATACTGAAGGGCTGGTGTTGGCAGTGTAGCTTGGTAACCCTAGCTGCTCCACTCCCTCTCCAGCTCCCTGCCGGTGGCCTGGACGGCAGTGTAAAATGGCCCAAGCCTTTGAGTCCCTGCCACCCAAGATTGGCTAAGCTCCAGCCGTTATGGCTGTTTGAGGAGTGTACTAGCAGATGGAAGGTCTCTACTCTTTCTGTGTCTCTCATTCTCTATATAACTCTGCCTTTCAAATAAGATGAATTTTTTTAAAATTTATTTTTATTGCCAAGTCAGATACAGAGGAGGAGAGACAGACAAGATCTTTTGTCCGATGATTCACTCCCCAAGTGACTGCAATGGCTGGAGCTGAGCTGATCCGAAGCTGGGAGCCTGGATCGGTCTTCCACGCAGGTGCAAGATACTAAGGCTTTGGGCCGTCCTTGAGTGCTTTCCCAGGCCACAAGCAGGGAGCTGGATGGGAAGTGGGGTTGCTGGGATTAGAACCAGCGATCATATGGGATCCTGGTATGTTCAAGGCAAGAGCTTTAGCCGTTAGGCCGCCATGCTGGGCCCTCAAATAAGATAAAATCGTGTGAAAATTTTTCCTTAGATGATGAGTTTGCTGTAGCAGCAAATATAATGAACTATGTATTTAGGTATAGAATTTTCTGAACTCTATTTTTTTTTTCCATTTGAAAACAGGAATAGAGAAGGGGGTATGGCATCTTCCATCCACAAGTCTACCCCCCAGATGGCAGCGACAGTCAGATCTGGCCCAGGCCAAAGCCAGGAGCTGGGCACTGCATCCAGCTAGCCCACGTGGGTGCTGGGGCCCACCACTTGGGTCGTTCCTTGCTGCTTTTGCAGGTGCTTTAGCAGGGAGCTGGGTTCCACTAGGACTGAAACTGGCTCTGCAGGGGTGTTAGCGTTACAAGTGGTAGCTTAACTGGCTGGGCTGTAGTACCAGCTTTTTAACTCTTTTTGACTTTCTGCAGATTTTTTGTGTCTCAGTGTACAGAAAATTATTGTTTCATGCTCACGAAATGCATTTGAATTATGGGATCCTGATTGGTGTTGAAAGTCTGTGTTAATGAAATTCTGTTGCTGTGTTGTTTTTTTTTTTTTAGGAACAACAGAAAGACCCAGAAGTGAGAGGACACACAGAAGAAAGGTAAAGTCTGTGACAATTCAGAAGTTGTAATGTGAGCTGAATCTTCCTTAGAGGGCGTCAGGGGTGTCCCGGGAGACTCCTCCGGTTATGTTGACTGCATAGAACCTCCTGAAGAGGCTTACTTGCATACTTCCAGAAGACAGGTGTTTAAACCAGACAGAGCTGTTCTTGATGATGTCTGTAACAGTCGTGCAGCCTGTGGTGTTACATCCTTCTCAAGGTGCCTTATGGGCGTGTTTATAGAGGCGTCCAGATCGTAAGATCAGCAGCTGAGCGTGGGGTAGTAACAAGGGCATGCTGTTGGCCATTGAATGGGCCCAAGTTACAGTCATTTAGAGGTGACTTTCACAGTAATACTACTTGGTCACCTTTAAGTGCTATGCCAGATTTGATATTGCTAGATTTTTCCACTTTAACTGTCTTCTACTTCATATAATGCAGTATAAAAGGCAAGCCAATGTGATTGCCGGAGTTTTCTGTGGGCTTAGCAGATAGTTCTGCTTTTGTGTTTACTCAGTCTGTGGAGCCTGAATTTACTTATTTCTATGATTGGATTTTTTTTATTTTGCTTATTCCTTATTTTCAAGTTTTTAAATCTTTCATTGTGTTCCATTTTACATCAAAGACATTTTAAATATTTCTAAAGCATGTTATTAATTCATCTGTTCACCAAAACAATGTTAAAAAAAAAATGTTGCCAAAAGTCTGATTAAACAGAGACATTGTAATGAGAGGATGTGATTGTGTGGATGGTTCTGGCCAGAGTTTTGGGGGAACTGTGCAGACTTGGTTAGGCTCCTGTGCCAGAACTGCAGCAGCTTTGTGGGAGGTACACTTCACGGAGGTTGCAATTCTGCTTTTGTTTCTCATAACTGCAACATTTTCTTTTGAAATACAAGAATATGTTTATATTTAAATGGTTGTGTGTTTCTTAGGCACTGCCTCCTAGGACCGAGAAAATGGCAGTTGACCAGGACTGGCCCAGTGTTTACCCAGTTGCAGCACCATTTAAACCGTCCGTGGTCCCTCTTCCTGTTCGGATGGGTTACCCTGTGAAGAAGGGTGTGCCCATGGCAAAGGAGGGAAATCTGGAACTGCTCAAGGTAAGCGGGGTGCTGGCCCAGACCTCAGTGAGTGCCTGTGGGAGCCCTGCCCATGCCCGCCTTCTCCCTGAGTTCACGAGCAGTCTTCTTATTGTAATCCAAAAGTTTTTCCACGGGATAATGCAAGTTAGTCCGAGGTGTCAGGATAGCGCCTGAGGTTGAGCACATCTGTGACAGAAAGTTTGGTTTAACAAAAAAGGTGGATTTTATTCTTTTTTTTTTCTTCTTGATATTTAATTCACCTGGTGCATTTTTCTGTTTTAGATCCCCAATTTTCTGCATTTGACTCCTGTAGCAATTAAAAAGCACTGTGAAGTTCTTAAAGGTATGTGACTGTTTACTTACATAAACTTTGTATTGCCTTTCAACATAAGAATATGAAGTCTGATACACAGCCTTACATTCTGGTTAGTCATTAGCTTTTTTCTCTTTTAACAAAGCTGAGCATTTTTATTTGAAGCGCAGTGTGACAGATTCTGTATCCTTTGATTCACCCCAAGTGTCTGCAACAACTGGGCCAAACTAAACAAGGCTCTACGCACTGCGCTTGGGGCTTTGAGGGGGTGACAGGGTGCCAGGCGCTGAGCTGTCAGCTGCTTCCGCCATGGCGCCTGTTAGCAGGAGGCTCAGCTGATCCTGAATCCTCTCGTGTGGACATAGCCATGGTCCCTGTTAGCAGGAGGCTGAGCTGATCCTGAATCCTCCTGTGTGGACACAGTGTGCCACATGGGCCTAACCTCCTGCACCACGGTGCTTTATTTTTTTAAAAGAAGACATTTTAAAGTTTTTTCAGTGAATTGTTAGCTGTTGCATCTGATTGTGTGTGTGTGAGACTCCTTTATAAGCGATTGTCACTATGAAAGTAGAATTCGCAGTCCTTGCTCACAGCTGCTGTTGAATTATAGAAGGCACGTAATGAAAGGGCTAGCATGGTGGCATTGCATGCAAATCCTCTGCCTGTAGCGCCAGCATTTCAGATAGGTGCTGATCCATCTCTGCTGCTCTGCTTCTGATCCAGCTTCTTGCTTATGATCTGGAAAAGCAGCTGAGGCTGGCCTAAGTCCTTGGGCTCCTGTAGCCACATGGGAGACATGGAGGAAGCTCCTGGCTCTGGTTTTGGATCTGCTGCTCTCTAGCCATGGTGGACCTCTGTCTGTTTCTCTTGTAGCTTTGCCCTTCAAATAGAAGTGAATCTTTAGAGACCACATGAATGAAGATTAAGGGAAAAGTGTGAGTTAGGTATATTGGTTTTGGTTTTTTGTTTTGTTTTGTTTTTGGCACATTGGTTTCACTGCCTTTTGAGTCACCTGTGTTCCACAATAGAGAGAGCTTCTGAGTGGGCTCTAGCTGTGCTCCTGGTGCACTCTGGGAAACAGCAGATGGAGACTTGAATACTTGGGTCTCTGCCACCCGCATAGGAGATACAGCCTGGCCTGGAGGGGACACCAGGGAGTGGATGGCTTGCTCACTCTGTCTCTTTCTCCTCTCCTCCCTCCCTCCCCTTCTCTCTAATTCTTTCTGCTTAATAGTTATTAAGACTTTTCAGGAGGGAAAAATAAAAATGAAAAGGAAGAAAAAAAGAAGCCTGGAAACTCTCCACAGGTAGTCCGGTCCTGTTATGTTGCAGGACAGACAGCGCTGATGTAATCTTTACACTTGAGCTTTAGGGAGTCCTTTCCACTCAAAAAGGAGAAGAGGATATAAAAAGGTCTGAAACCTGGGAGTAATGACCTCATTTGAAATGAGGGAGAAGAATTAGTTTCATATATGTAGCCCAGTGTCGACGGATGAGAATACTTTTCTGATCCTAAAGATTGTGTTTCTGTTTATCTGGGCCTAGAATTGAACTGAAACTGATCATCATTCCAGATTTGTGCCCCATTTTGCACAAATGATGGATCACCTTTTGATCATTTAGATAACTAGTAAAATAAATGTGTTTGTACATTGTTCTCAGTTTCTCTCCTTTGGAAATATTTTTAATGTGAAACATCCAGTGTGTGTAGGTACACCTTCTGCGCGTGTTGATAATCATGAAACTGACCATTTTAATGCGGCATTTCTGTAAGACGTCCTGGTTTGTGATGCACGGTTCTTGCACAGCCCACCAGGAGGGCACAGCTGTGTTTCACAGTGCTTCCAGGGACTTTTGAGTCTTTCCTTAATTAGGCCTTTACACTCTGCCAAGCTCTGGATTTAGGTTGCATCTTCCACATAACTGCAAGGCTTTTCAAATGTCTCTTCTCAGTTTTCTTCCAAAGTGGGTCAGCTCAGGCGTTTTATCTCACTTGAGATGGAAAAACTGAAATGCAGGAAAGTTAGGTAATTTACCAAAACTTTAATAATCAGTGTCAGAAGTGAAATAAAAATCAGTCTCTTAAAGTCTAGTCTTTGCCTTACCTATCAGATAAGTAAAGCTAATAGGAGTCTATTATGTGTTTTCCAGCTAGCTGAGTTTTTTAGACATGTAATTTAGGTAATTTAATTTAAAAACTGTAATCATCATCTGGTGATTGAAATGACTTATTCACGGTTAACAAAATGGAGTGCAAACCCAAGAGTCCACGTGACTCCCCGAGCAAGTCTGTCTTACAAGGTGCCTGGTCTGACACTCTTCTGTAGAATCACTCTGGGAATAAATTTCCACTCAGTTACTTTCTTCTTCTTTTAATGTTAAAATTTTTTAATTTACAGAGTGTTCTTATTCCCTTGAAGTAATTTAGGATTGGCTTTTAAACAGGGTGTTTAGGGAGTAGTATGGGTTGTTCTTCATTTGCACATGCGTATTTATTTAGTCCTAGGTGTCAGAGAGTGATGGGTGAATGGCTAAATCCTCGCCTTGCAAGTGCCAGAATCTCGCATGGTTGTCAGTTCCTGTCCCGGCTGCTCCACTTCCCTTTTAAATCCGTGCTTTTGGCCTGAGAAAACAGTAGAGGACAGCCCAAAACCTTAGAACCCAGCAGCTATGTAGGACACCCGGAAGAAGCTCCTGGCTCCTGGCTTTGGATTGGCTCAGCTCTGGCCATTGCAGCCCTTGGGGAGTGAACCAGTGGGTAGAAGATCTTTCTCTGTCTCCCCTTCTCTGTAATTCTGTCTTTCCAATGAAAAATAAAAACATCCAAGGGGGTGTTCAATCTTATATAAATCTTTGATAGACTGAGCTAGACAGCAGTAGTCAGGAGAGTTTTTACTGGCAGTGCAAGTAAGCGAGGCAGGGGCCATGAGATCATTAGGCTTTTTGGTCTTGTAAGTGGCCATCCCTACATACAGTCTAGAGATTAAACCATAAAGCCCAAAAGGCCTTTTAGAGTTTTAGAGAGGAAAGCAAAGAAGTAAAGAAAGAAGTTAATTCTCATATTTGTTACTCTCACTAGCAATATCAAATGAAAACTATTAAATAACAGCTTCAGAAAACATTTACCCAGAGGTCTGATGTTAGCTGTAAATTTGAGATGGAAGTACAGGATTATAATTGATGTAAATAGTACATCAAAGAGAGCAATGAAAATAACATGAGTAACTTGGTTGATTAATGAACTTGAGCACAAACATGTCAGTGACTTAAAAGGATTTTCATCGTCTCTGGGTACTGGGACGTGTAGAAAGTCATGTGTGGCTTCCACCTTTGTCTCTCCCCTTTCCCCAGAACAAGAAGAAGAAATAGCAAAATTGGAAATAATGAGTTCCCAGTTTTCCTTAAATCTTGATCCTTCCCATTCTGATCAACCATGTAATCATTATAAAAAATAAAGTTAATTAAAAAAAATAAAAGCATATTAAAAAAAATGGATTACAGCTCTGTTCAGCTCAGGTTCTGAAGCATAGTTAACCACATTTCCGTTTCCTGCAAATAGCTTTTCCAGAGATGCTTTTAGCTCCTCTCGGCTGCTGTTTAGAAGCCTTCCTCTGGGAGTGCGTTAGCAGTATCTGGGCACTGTGACTTGCTCGCCTTGGCTGGGAAGGAACTGGGTGTGTGCAAAGCTGCCCTGTGCCTGTCACGCTCTCTCTTTCCACTGCGAGCCCTGCTTCCCACCACCCTGGCAGTACCCAAAGCATTCCCCTAATTGGATTCCCTAGATAGGTACACCTGTTTGAGCTAAGGATTGAAGGATGCTCATACAAGCTTTGGAGCAGAACCTGCCCTTCCCTTTGATGCGTGTGTCCTATGAGAGTTCAGTCGTTTGGTGTTGTCTGGTGCATGGGTTACAATTCAGTTTATTTGTGAAACCATAATTGAGATTTTTTTGAAAATCAGAGTTCTGCACCGAGTGGCCAACTGCACTTGACACTGATGAGAAGTGTGAGAAGCATTTTCCAATCGAAGTTGACACAGCTACCTATGTCTCATCAGGACCGTCCATTCGCAACCCCAAGGCACGCATAGTAACCTTGAGGGTAAGAAGCGATTTTCTTTTTTCTTTTTACTCTAGTTTTTCATTTGCTAATAAAAAGATGGTAATTTTATCCTCTGGTTCATTCCTCCAAATACCTGCAGTAGCCAGAGTTAAGCCAGGAGCCAGGAACTCAGTCTGAGTCTTGCACGTGGGTGGCAGGGACCCAAAAACATGTGAGCATCCACTGACGCCAGGATACACAGCACAGCAGCAGAAAGCTGCATGGGAAGCAGGGTGGCTGAAGCTCAAACCACCCACTGCAGTACAGGGTGGGGCTGAGGGAGACCCAAGTAGCAGCGTTAAGTGCTGTGGTGAGTGCCTGCCCTCAAGATTTTTTAAAATTAAGAAATACTACAAAACATTATGTAGAAATACATGCTATAGTTGTGCTTAAAAAGCATGTATTTACCATAGAAAATTTGGAAGACAACAAAAGCTTAAAATGATGAAATTGTTCATAATTTTTCTATGAACAAATAAACTTTATCAGCTCATTTATTTATAGTCAGTGTCTTTTTTTTTTTTTAAGATTTGTTTATTTTTATTGGAAAGGCAGATGAGATTTTTCAGAGAACCATCAGCTGATTCATTCCCCCAGTGGCCACAACAGTTGGAGCTGAGCCAATCCAAAGCCAGGAGCCAGGAGCTTCTTCCGAGTCTCCCATGAGGGTACAAAGTTCCCAGGCTTTGGGCCATCCTCTGCTGCCTTCTCATTTCATAAACAGGGAGCTAGAGGGGAAGTGGAGCAGCCGGGACACAAACTGGCACCCATCTGCCATCCTGGGCATGCAAGGTGAAGGTTTAGCCTTCCAGCTATCACACTGGGCCCCCGTTTCTATATTTTTAACAGTGACAACTAAATATGTGTAGTAATCTGTTATTTTTTACTTGGTGAAAATGTTTTCCATTATTATTGGATATTCCTTTAGTAAAGATTTATTTATTTGAATGACAAACTTTAAGAGAGGGAGAGAGAGAGATCTTCCATCTGTTGGTTCACTACCCAAATAGGTACAACAGCTGAAGCTGGGCTGGTCTGAAGCCAAGCACTAGGATTTTCTTCTGGATCTCCTACATGGGTGACAAATGTCCAAGCACATCTCCTGCCACTTTCCTAGGCATGTTAGTGGGGAATTGGATCAGAAACATAGCAGCTGGGACCTGAACCAGTGCCCACATGGGATGCTGGTGTCACAGGTAGTAACTTTACCTGCCACCCTACAATGCTGACTGCTAATCTTATTTATTTTAAAAAATTAAAATTTTATTCTAAATATTGTTTACAAAGTTGAGAGGAGTGTACGCTCAAGTGAGTCTCTAATTAGGGTGGGGAGAGTTGAGATTATGGTTGAAAGTGGGAGGGACAAATGTTTCAGTTACTTTCTTTTATTCTCCTGGTCTGCTAGGGGGTCAAGGAGAGGGGGACCGCTGTTTGTTGTAAAACTACATTGGCACCTGGGGATGAGATAGTCATTTGATGACACCTTAGAGACCCTGCTGTGATGAAGAGTGTTGGCAGTGTATTACTTGAGTGGTTTTGATAGTTCTGAAACGTTGTCATCTTCACTGTACCAGGGTCAAGAAAATCTTTCCAAGATCTATTGGCTGACCAAGCCCACCTCTCTGCATCCATAGACTCTACTGGCTGACCAAGCCTACCTCTGTGCATCCATTGGCTCAGGCATTTGCTGCAAAGGTTGGCCAGGAGAGTTGTCCAAACTGTTCTGCTTTCTATCCTCTGATAAGGCACTCAGTTTCTTCTGCTGGCCTAGGTGAACTGGCTGCCATGTCCCTCATTTCCATCTGAGCATGCTGACTACTGCAGAGGCATCAGCAGCTGAGGAGGCCCAGTCCTGACAAATGCTCTCCAAGGTTAGATCACCTGTGTTGTGATTTTTTCCCTGTGGTATGGATTTGAGTTCAGCTGTCTAATTGGGGAGTCCAAAGAAACCTCACCTGGGGTGACCTCAGGCTTGACTCTTGTGTGCGCCAGCTAGTGCAGGGTCATGATTGATCATTACCTGCATCAGCCAGTACACGTACCATGGATGCAGCTGCCTGGCCAGTTTTGCCTCCAGCCCCATCTCTCACATGGATTAATAGATGCTACAGCACCTCAGGCCTGACAGGTGCAGTGGCCTTGTCAGGGCAATCCCCCAGTAACTTCCACCAGTCCTGCCCTGTCTTGTTTGTGCGTGTGGTGGCATGTGCTATGGCCTAGCCCAGTCTGTCCCACATCTCATCTTGGTCTCATACACACCCTCGGATGCAGCAGCACATCCCAGCCTGGCCTGTCTCCAGACCCAGCACAAAGGCCAGCTGATAGATACTGCAGCCCTGCCCAGGCCAGTACACCCCTATTCCCAGCTCTCACACTCACTAGTGGAAGCACCAGCCCAGAGGGGAGTCCCGAAAGTTCCTCTACCAGACACACTCCCAGCCCTGAGTCTTCCTTGTAGCAACAGGTGCTACAGCCTGGTCCATCCCTAGAACCAACTTTGATGTGACTAGCAGGTGCCATGGCATAACCAGCCTTTCCTATACCTATGTTGGCTCTTGCAAGCACCAGCAGATGCTGGAGTCTAGTTCAGTCTGGTGTCATGGTGTAATTAACACAGATTTTGTGTTAACCTGGCTCAGAATGTTTGCTAACTCTTGGCTGCTTTTCTGCCAGCAGTGCAACACTTGCCTAGGTACAAGGTGGCCTAGGCAGTTGCCTACAGCTGGGGTCCTCATTTTACTTTTAATGGCCATTTAATGTAAATGCATACGTTAGTGCTGTAACATTATTTGTGGATGGTGGTATATTTTGATCAATTCCAGCAAAGCACATTTTCTGACACTGAAATCGGAAATACAAATAAATTATCCCCTAATGTGGAATGACATCAGAATTATGAGCTAAATAAGCCGTCTTTGAGGGTTTCATTATGACAAACAACAGAGTAATACAATGTTTTACCTTATTTAGCTGTATTCTGGCATTTAAAGTAATCTGTATTCCTGTGCCAAATCCGTTCATCTCTAGGTAAAGCTCCTGCTGTAGTTCTGTGTAAATACGTGTGTTCAAGTGCAGGTATTATGACACAGTGTGTTAATGAGCCCCTGCTTGGAACATCCCATATGGGAATGCTGGCTCTGGTCCCAGCTGCTTGCTTCTGATCCAGCTTCCTCGAATGTGCCCTGTGTAAGTGGCAGGCAGGACATGTCTCAGGTGCAGGAGTTCCTGCTATGTGGGAGAGCCAGATAAAGTTCCTGAGTGCTGGCTTCAGCCGAACCCAGCTCTGACTCTTGAGGGGAATGAACCAGTGGATGGAAAATCTGTCTCTCTGTTGCTCTCTGCCTGTGTAGTAGGAGATTTAAAGAAAAGGGGTGAATGTTGTGGCATAGCCGGTTAAGCTATAGCTTGGGGTACTGTCTGGGGACTGAGTCCTGCTAACTTCACTCGGACTCCTTTTCCTGCTTGTGTGTCTCGGGAGCCAGCTGTGACAGCCCAGGCTCTTGGCTTCCTGCGCTCCCTGTACATGATGGGCTGGAGCTCTGAACCCAGCCCAGGTTGTGGCCGGTGTTTGACAAGTGAACCAGTTTGTGCGGAGGAGTCTTCTCTTGCTCTGCCTTTCAAATAGAGGAATAAAGTTGGAAAAATACTCAAAGTATTTAAAATGTATGTTTATTTAGTCTGTATTTTCTTAAGAAAATTAATTCCATGAGCTGTCAGAAGTACTACTTTTCAAAAGTAGAATCCTAAGTCTAATCATTTACACACCAAGCCCAGATCTTGGAATTTCAGACTGCTCATTAGCATATTGCCTGCTGTAAGAAGTGGTACCATGAAGAACTCAGATTTACTTAGGACTTGTCTAATCTGTTCAGAAGAGATCAATAATTCTCTGTCCATGCCTGAGGGACTAGCGTTAGCATTTGGGAAACGGTGAGCTGAATTACTTTGGAAGTTTTGATTCTTCCTTGGTACATCAAGCTTCTACGAAGTAGCGAAGCTTTTAAAAAATAGATCTGCTTACACCCATTGCAGAGTCAGGCCTCAGAATTGCATGGTGGCAGTTTCTTGGAGCTCTGAAGGTTCATGCCTGTATTTCCGCATTCCAGCTTTCCTGACACTAACGGGGTGGAGTTCTGTTCGCGCTACTCCTCAGCACCCTGATTTTGCTCTGTGCACAGACCCTTCCCGCTTCAGGGAAGCTGCCAGTGCCCAGCCTTCAGAGCTTCGTCTCTTCCCCTCCTGTTTGCCCATGAGTAAGATCAGCGTGCATGCCAGCCACTGACTGCAGAACACAGCTGGGAAAGCTTGCTTTCTAGTGGGTTTATTGTTCATGTAAATAACATGGCTACTTTATTTCATTAAATTACATGAAGTAATTTTTTTTCCCAAATGTTGTTTTTTAAGGTTAAACTCTCCAGTTTGAATTTAGATGACCATGCAAAGAAGAAATTGATTAAACTTGTGGGAGAACGGTACTGCCCGACCACCGATGTGCTCACCATCAAGACAGACAGGTACGGAGCGAGCAGCTCAGCATCCTGTCTCATGCATTCCTTTACTGTCTTATAGTCCCCTGGTGGCTTCTTCAAAGAAGTTACCTGCTCTGTGCCAACCTGCTGTGTTAGAGCTTGTCAGATTTGTGTTTTTACTATCCTCAGAACAGCCAACGTTTGTTGTGTTCTTTATGCATATAGAGAGGATTGCTGGTCCAACTGCACTTGCTGTTTCTTTTAATCTTAGTGTTGATACATGCGTGTATATAAAATTCAGGGATGATGTTAGAAGACAAAAGTGTGGTTTGCGTAAATTTTAAATTATTATAGATGAATTGATAAATTATTTTCATTTGATGCTGAGAAAAGTTACTGATACATTTTCACTATATGGTTATTTTTCCTCTAGAGTTACACTTTGGTTGTTTCTGAGTTGTGTCAACACACAAGACTTTTCTTAAAGGGGAAAAAAATAACTTGAGAAAAATGAGTGGGCAGGTGTCCTGTCAGCCTGCCTTTTCCAGTGTCAGAGCATTTGCAAATCTGGGCATTAACTGAGTCTTAGTTCAACATACTGACTGTGGGAAGAGGAGCGTTAACACAAGGGAGTCTGCAGGGGTGGGACAGCTTAGGAGCCAGGCTTTCCCAGCATGGAGTTCTAAGGTACTGTCTTAGTCCTTCCCTGGTACTAGAAAATGTGTGTTCCATGTTGAGGTGTTAGTTTGTGCAGCTGAAAAATCACTGTTAGCATATATGTTATCCCTGAAGCTTTTTAAATATCTGTTAATGTCGCTTTCTTCTCAGGTAGTTGTGTGTGTGTGTGTGTGTGTGTGTTGGTAACCATTCAGTAGTCATCTCTGTTTTATTGCTCTAGAAGATTAGCATGCCATCTCATAGGTATGTAGATGTTTGAATCAGGTTATTCCATCTTCAGTACACCAGCAGCAGTACAGCATTGTGTGGGTTAGCTCAGTGTTCAAGAACTCAGCCCAGGCGAGACAGTGCTGACATTAGGGTCCCATCTAAACTCGTTAGGTCCCCGAACAGACACAGAGGGTATATTCTTATTGTCAAATAGGTTCTTAGCACTACAGTGGTGAAGAGAATTTAGAATCAGTAGTAATTTAAAATAGCATAAAGTTGTTGTAATGTACAGATTATTGATAAAGAAAAAGTAACATGTAAAAATATTCAGTAATGAAACATCTGAATTATTCTAAGGAGAATTTTTCAAAAGCAGAAAAATAATTGAAAATCTTGTCTTCTATATAATTTTGCAAATTATTCTGTATATGTTTTAATTTCTCTCTTCTCTTCTAAAGGTGTCCTTTAAAGAGACAGAATTTTGACTATGCGATGTATCTCCTGACAGTTTTGTACCATGAGTCTTGGGTAAGTAAGAGCAGGTGCATGTTGACTGGTTTCGTCATTGTGATTTAGATTGTGTTAACCTTCCAAAATGTCTGTGTGTAAAGTTCTCAGTTGAATGATTTGGGAACAGCACTGAGTAAGGGAAGCAAGGGAAATGTCCCAGGGCTTGAATACAGAGGTGAAAGGTGAAGATTTAAAATAGGTTACTCGGTTCATCTCTGGACTTACATGTCCAACATACCTTAAAATTCATAGCTTTTCATATTGCCTGGAAACTTTGGAGCTTAGTTGCTTTTGTTTTGGTTTGGTTTTTTGCCTTTTTAAATCTGACTTCATTTTTTTCTGATTAGGAAGAATAAAATCATTATATGTATGACTTGAGAATTTCTGATTTGTAAATAAACCACGGAACAAAGTTCTAAATGTTTGTAGGAAGCTGTTTTAAATGCTTATTAAAATTTTTAGTTAACACATAGCCTTTGTGTAAACATTTGACTGGTATGGTTCAGGTCAGTTATGGGCGGTTAGTTCTGTGCTGTGGAAAGCAGGCATGGCCTGGCTTCCTGAGTATCGCTCTGTGCTGTACAGTAGCATTAGCTCTTGTGACGAGAGTCGCTAGCCCTATGCTTAGGTAACTCAAAATTTTAAATGTTTTTAAAAAAATTTTCCAGTATGCATTCAAATTACATTTTTGTAGGTTGTGTCCAGCCGAGGCATCTCAATAGCATTTTCTCTCAGGTATTGAACACACAGAAATTACTGAAAATGTTTGAAGGACAGATTGCTTTTCTGTGCCTGAGAGCACACTGAGGTGAAGAGGTAGTGAGACCTCTCTGAGAGAGCAGAGGCGTGGTGGCTGACTGGCTGTGAGACAGCATGTCATCCCTTCCACTGAGTGTGGGGACGGGCGTAGCAGCCTGTCTGTGGAGTGACAGTGACAGCTCTTGCTTTTAGACTATCCTTCCAGCTTCAGGACACCAGGATTCTGTGTGCTCATACGGCAGTTGTTTACCCTGTTGGTAGCGTTTCCCCCATCTTCTCCATTCCCCTCCCTGCCTGCCCCTCATCTTCTGCTCTTCATCCACTTGTTCACTCCTCAGGTGGCTAAACAGCTCAGTTTGAGTGGGTGAGGCCAAGAGCCTGGGACTGTATCCGCATCTCCCACATAGGTGACAGGAACCCTAGGGCGGGCTTCTGCCTTCCCAGGTGCATCAGCAGGGAGGCAAAAATCCAGGACTGGACCCAGCACTGCAGTACGGGATGGCAGTGTCAAAAGCAACAGATGTGCTATGACACCAGCCCCTCACAGGATTTTCATTGTATTAGCAATTAAAACAGTTTTAGGACAACAGATAGGTGAAAGGGAAATATGACTTTATTTCAAGGTCAGTAAAGAGTGAAAGCCACCTGTTAGCTCTTTTGAGTTGTTGTCATTATCGTAATTCATCTGGAATTTCTAGTTCCTGGCTTCAGGAGCAACCTCATAGTGGCTGGTAATGTGTTTCCTGTCTATTTATTGTAGGCATGCTTTGGCTTAAGCTAATTAAGTTCCTTTTTGAATCAGCAGCATGACTGAGTTAACTATATCTCTGGGGCTGCTGCATAAAGAGCTAATAACGAACAATAAAAGCCAACTTGTTTTGAGGTTCTTGTTTTGCCAGCAGCCTATAAAGTGAATTTGCCCTGAAGGAGATTGACAGCGATAAATAAATTCAATGAAAGTTGACTTACTAGATTCTGTCTGTGCTTCCATGACGTAAATCCAGGCAAGCTGTAATTTGGATTTGTGCATGGAGCTTTGATTTTTTTTTTTTTAGTACTAGTTACTTTGATGCCAGGATAAGACATCCTTGCTGTCCTAAGTAGGTAGAATTGAAGAATGTCTTGGTACCTTTCAAACAAATACATTGGTGAGGATGCTTAAAACAGTAAATGCAATGAGCCTTGGGAATTTACAGAGCTACTGCAGCAGAATTGTTACTGGATTGAAATTGTCTTTTTTCATTCACCAGTATGGAATTCCTGCTTGACGTGGTTGTTACCCCCTGATCTAGTCCAGTATTGAGTCATTCCTTAATTCAGTGTCTGGCTTCTAGCACGTAGTGTCCAACGGTGTGCTGCTCTTGGCTCTGTAACACATTGTTGGAAGTTACTGCTCAGTAGCATTTGAGAAGAAAGTAATCACGGTTATGTGGAGCACATAGCACTGAAACTCAGAAAATTTCCATCTGGATCTCAGTAGAAGGATATTGCTGAAGTACAAAATCTAGAGCAGTTTAAATTTTTTATTTTATTTTAATTATAAAGACAGATTATTACAGAGAGAAGAAGAGACAATACTCCATCTGCTGATTCACTCCCCAAATGGCTGCAGTGGTCAGAGCTGAGCCAATCAGGAGCCAGGAGCTTCTTCCAGGTCTCCCACACGGGTGCAGAGTCCCAGGCCTTTGGGCTATCTGCTGCTTTCGCAGGCCACAAGCAGGAAGCTGTATGGGAAGTAGAGTATCCAAAACACGAACCGGTGCCATTATGGGATCCTAATGCTGGTGAGGATAGGATTAGCCAGTCGAGCCGTCATGCCAGCTTCCTTTCTCCTCTTCCCGCCTCCAAATAATGTAAAGGTAGGGTCCTGAAGTGGACATCAGTGGACACTTAGGGTCCTGAAGTGGACATCAGTGAGCCTGGCTGTCAGGAGGCATGAACGTCACACGGCCTCAGCTGTGGGCTGTGGTGATGCTTTAGAGAGTGATTGTTCAGTGCCTGGAGGTGGTAAGGGATGTGATGGAATAAACACACCAGACCAGTTCTCCCCGGCTGCCCAGGGCCACAGGAGGCCATTTCAGCCTTACTGTGGCTGACACAGGAGTGAAATGCGCCTTACCCGTTGGAGTCACACTTTTTGGATTTGGAATCCCGGCTGCCTGTGTAATCTTAGCTCACTCACTTCTGCGTCTCCTCTGGGGGATGCTTGGCTGCATCAGGGTGAATTTATGGAAACTAGCAAATGTCATTATCTCAGTATGGATTTTAAAAAATTGCTTATAATACAGAGATGAAGAAGGCTTTTTTCTTAGATCTTCAAGTGCATGTATTTCCAGTTTCTATGTACAGTATATATTTAGTATGACAGTTTACACAAGGTGAGATCTGTACTCTGCTGTCTTTGAATATTCAGAGCATGTAATCTACTCATCTAAATAACCGACAGCAACAATTACTACATTTTAGTTTTTATTCCTTGATACACTGATTTTAAAACATTATTTATTTGAAAGGCACAGAAATAGGAAGGGAGGGAATGAAAAACAGCTCTTGTGTGCATTTGGTCATTTTCCTGATGGTAGTAGCCAGGCTGGACAAGGCCAAAGCCAGGAGCCACGAGCTCCGTATGGATCTCCTTCCTGGGTGACAGGGGCCCAAGTGCATGGGCCATCTCCCGCTGCTTTCCCAGGTGCAGTAGCAGGACAGCCAGGACTCCGGCTGGTGCTCCCAGGTGGGATGGTGGTGGTTTCAGCCATTGCTTCATCCTGTGTGACACAACGCTAGGCATTAAGTGATGAGATGAAACATTGTGCAGAATGAATTACAGAAAAAATAGATAGACTAACATGGAAGCAAGGAAGAAAGTGCTTGGCTGTGTTGTGTTGCTCCTCCTCCCTGGGAGGATGGGAAAGGTGTTGTAAAGTCTGGGGGGTCGGGAGGGTGAGGGTGCTGTAAAGACTGGGTACTTCTGCCCTGCCCTGTCCTGTGGTTTCTGTGCTCGTGCCTGACTACCTCCCAGCAGCCCCATCTGCGTGCATCCTTGTGACAGAGACTGGGACTTCGGCTGTGGTAGACAGTGATGGTCCCACGTGGTGTTTTGTCTAATCTGGTAAGGCCTTGCTGAGCAGGGATCTGGTGTTACTTCTCAAGAGTTAGAGTTTTCAACGTATTTCCAAAAATAAGTTGACAGATCAGCAGGTAAACTCCCTTTTCAGTAATGTAAGATGTAGCTTTCTGTTGGCTCCTAATCAAGACCAGCAGTTTGCCGAAGCTGTTGGTTTCAAGCAGGAGCCTAAAGGAATGTCTTTCTCTGGTCTGTTGACCATTTCAGAACTTCGGATATGTAATGGTCAATTCATTGGGAAGAAACACAATAATAGTAAAAGATGTAGCACTCTGGTTAGATGTTGGTAATAACTAGCTTGCTGGTGAATTACTAATGATTTTTAAAAATATTTTTCTTATTTGAGAAGCTAAGAGAAAGACACACAGATGTGCAGACAGAAATCTCTTATCATGTGATTCACTCCAAACCCTGCAACAGCCAGGGCTGGGCTGGATCCGAGCCAGGAGCTGAGAGCTGCAGGTTCGCTGCAGGCCGCCTGTGGCCTGGCAGGAGCTAGGAGCTTGATCTGCTGGCTCCGCAGGGCTGCAGTGAGCAGCTGGTGAGAGGAGCCGGCGCGTGGTGCTGGACCCAGTGCTCTGACGTGGGACTGAGACATCCTTGCTGCTAGACCACACACTGACCCCAGTTAGGACAGTCACAGAATGACGTAAAGTTAGGCCAGATTTTACAGAACGACTTCTGTTTCTGTTTGAGATTCTCAGTTTTTGTAAATGTGTGAATTATTTGGATTATGTTACAGATGAAGTTTTTTTCATTTATTTGTTTCTATAAAAAATTTAAAGATGGTGCTCATTGTACATTATTTTGAAAGTTATACACAAACATTTGCTTCAATGAATTTGTTTCATGATACAAATCTGTATTTCTGAAATCAGATGAGAAAGAGGGGATATACTGAGGGTGGTATGGCTGTAGACATCAAATCTGCATTTCACAGTGCTAATGTAAAGACTTCCTGCTGGTCAAGATGCATCTCTTTAGCATGAAAGATGGGATTTTACTCTTTGTGCAGAAATTAGTGTTATGTTATTCATACACGAAAAACAATTGCAGTTGAACTTCAGGAGGAGTCTGAACGTGTGGTAGAGCAGAGGTGGGGAAGTCACCGCGTGCCAGTGTCCCTGGCTCCAGGCAGAGCCCACGGGGAGAGGGGTCAGTGCTGAGACCACCCGTGTCCCGCTGCCCTGGCAGTCTCTGTGCTTTGGAACATCAGCGCCTTGGACTAACACAAAGGAAACCCAAGCAGGGGCGGGGAGGGTTACTTCATTCTGTGTTTGTACGTTTTTGTCCTTTTTTTTCATTCCAACTCCCCTTTTTAAAAAGTGTTTTAAACAGTATATCTTTTGCCAAGGCCCATGGTGGGGTGTTGATGTGATGTGATTTCTGCCCAGTGCTCTGCATGTCAAAGTGAAGGAATTCAATGAAGCGCTGGTGAACAGCGGGAGTAACTGTGACTCTTAAGGTAGCCAAAGGCTGTGTCATCAATTAGTGGCACACGTGAATGGATGAACAAGCTGCCCACTGTCCCTACTTGCTATCCAGCGAAACCACAGCCCAGGGAATGGGCTTGGCAGAGCCAGCAGGGAAAGAAGAGCCGGTTGAGCTTGACTCGAGTCTGGCACGATGAAGAGGCATCAGAGGTGTAGAATAAGTGGGAGGCCCCCGGCGCCCTCCCGTTTTCCCGTGAGGGGATGGGCCGCCAGTAAAATGCCACTGAAGCTGGCAGCAGTGAATACATGATGCTCGCTTTCGGTGTTCCTGAAGCCGGGAGCCAGGAGCTTCTTCTGGGTCTCCCATGCGGGTGCAGGGTCCCAAGGCTTTGGGGCTGTCCTAGACTGCTTTCCCAGGCCACAAGCAGGGAGCTGGAAGGGAAGCAGTACTGCCGGGATTTGAACCGATGCCCATATGGGATCCCAGTGCATGCAAGGTGAGGACTTTAGCCACTATGCTACTGTGTTGGACCCCTGTTGTGTTCATTTTCTTTGAAAATCAGACAGAAAAAAAAAAGGAAGAGAACTCTTCCACCTATTGATTAGTTATACTCCCAAATGCCTACAGCAACCACAGCTAGTTAAGGCCAAAGCCAGGAACTTAGAACTCTGTCTGCCATGCAGGAGGGCCACCCTGCTGTCCCCCAGGAGGGGCCTGAGCAGGAAGCTGTTCTGGAAGCAAGAGTGGCTGGGACTCTCATCGGGTTCAGTGGTCGGGATGTGGGTGCCATGGCCATGCTGCGAGATGCGGGCACCATAGGCCGCTACTTCATCATTGTGCCACATGTCCACCTCGCATGCTTCTCTCAAATAAACTTTCTCTTTTGATATCTTTTTCCCAGAATTCAGAACTCATTTTTCTTTTCTTTCAGAAAACTGAAGAATGGGAAAAACAGAAAACTGAGGCAGACATGGAAGAGTATATATGGAAAAATAGCTCTTCAGAAAAAAACATCCTGGCGACGCTTGTGCAGATGAGAGCGGCCGAGGGCAGCGCGGGCGTCGGGGAGGAGGAGCTGCTGGCCACCGAGGATGTGCAGGCGTACGCGCGCTCCGTGGCCAGCCTGAAGAACGAGGGGGACAGTGAGCAGGCCCTTTGCCAGTACAAAGAGTCCGTGAAGAGACTCTTAAACGTGACGTGAATTGCCAAGTGGAAGAATCTGCCTGACGTGTTCATTTTACAGCACATGTAATCAATATGTGATTTGATATAAGATTGAAGATATTGGAAGACTGTTGTTTTACATCAGGGTTAAAATTATTCCTTCCTTGCTAATGCACAACACTGATGCTTATTCCAAAGTTTTCTTGTTTATATGCTAGCACGTTTAGACTAATCAGAAGGTCTGAAGATATATTTATTGAAAGGCAGAGTTACAGAGAGGGAGAAAGCAACAGAGAGAGATCTTTTGTTCACTGTGTCACTCTCTAAGTGGCCGCAGCAGCTGGGACTGGGCCAGACTGAAGCCAGGAGCCAGGAGCCCCATCCAGGTTTTCCATCTGAGTGGCAGGGGCCTAAGCACTTGGGCCGTCTTCTGCTGCTTCCCCAGCAGCATCAGCAGGGAGCTGGCTGGGAAGTGGGGAGGGGGAGGTTGTGGTAGTGCTAACATGGGATACCCTTGTCGCAGGTGGGACCTAAACCATTGTGCCCTAACACTGATCCATGTGTAAGTACGGAACCATTGGTTTGTTGCCAGCCACATTTGCTTCTCGACAAGTGGCATTTAGTGGTCGCTTGAGGGGGCAAGGCCCAGGGCAGAGTCCCCTGACTTGCAGACTGTTGCTGTCCATGGGACTGCTCTCTGTCCTTTCCATCTACAAGCTCCGATTCTGGTTGGAAATGAGTGCCCAGTAATGAGTTCAAACAAAGCTTGCTACATTCTCTGTTTTGGGAGTTTTCTAAGTTGACTGAGTTCATGTAGCCTGCTGTTCCACTGTTCCAGGGCTTGCCTTGCGATGCTGAAACTTGCAGAAAGGAGTGCACATGACCTGGAGTCATCCGTCTGTGTGTCGCAGAGCCGCCCTTCGTGGCAGGCAAGCCGGGAGGAGGGCCTCTGATGTGGTCAAGGCCATTCCGTGTAGCTATAAGTCATTTCTTGCCACTTCCAAGGGTGTTGTTGGTGATTACTTTAGAATCAATGTAGAGATGGGTTTGTGGCATAGTTGCCACTTGGGGTACCACATCCCATATTGGGATGCCTTGGTCAGGCCATGGCCACTCTGCCTCCTATCCAGCTTCCCCCTCGTGCACATTCCTAGGGACGTAAGGGGTGACCTGCATGCATTTCCTGGCTCTGGCCTTCTTACTGGCCCAGCCCAGTGAGCCAGCTGATGAAACAGCTTAGTCTGTTGTTCTCTTTCTGTCATTTTGCCTTTAATTTTTTTTTTTTAAATATTGGAGTTTGTTTTGCCTTAACTAGAAACTACAAATGAAATCTTCTGGTTCTCCCCCCTCCCTTTTCTTTTTTCCTAATTGCCTGGGACATTTGTCAAACAAATTTGTAGTTTGGTACCATCTAGGAAGTAGTTTATAAAGAACATCAGTATGGCCCAAGTTCAGAAAGGAGGAAGCGTTATGTTGTATTTCACCAGCGAAGAATAGAGAATGAAAGTAGATAAAAGTGCATATTTTTGGTAAAGATTTATTTGTATTACAAAGTCAGATATACAGAAGAAGAGACAGAGAGGAAGATCTTCCACCTGTTGCTTCACTCTCAAGCAGCCGCAATGGCCAGAGCTGAGCCAATCTGAAGCCAGGAGCCAGGAGCTTCATCCGAGTCTCTCACGTGGGCGCAGGGTTCCAAGGCTTTGGGCTATCCTTGACTGCTTTCCCAGGCCACAAGTAGGGAGCTGGATGGGAAGTGGGGCCGCTGGGATTATGGAACCCATATGGGAACCTGGTGCATGCAAGGCAAGAACTGTAGCCACTAGACTATCGCACTGGACCCCAAAACCATGTTTTTATTACTATACCAAATACTCCCCAGCTGATTTCCTGATCATGTTTAGAGCATACTTGAAGACATCTTAAGTATCAAAACAGTTAGAGGTACGTGCAGAGTTAAGGACAGCTGTTATGAAAACAGGCTAAAGAAGGAGGTGTGGATGAGAATTGGTCACCTAGGAACCTCTCAAGAGTCGTCTGTCTTGTGTGATTACTGGGTATAGTGAAAGCAGAGCCAACATGAATGTGTAATAGAGTTTGACGCTGCCCAAAGAGGGCCTTGCCTTGGCACTGGCCTCTGGGAGGTAACATGTCATGCCAAGAGGATTGCCTTAGTTTGCGGGTGCGGGGGGCAGCCCCTGGAATAGCTGACAGTAGGGCCAGGCATGCCAGAAAGGCAGCTAGGATGATTCAGGACAGGGACTTTGGGTTACCAGTCATTTGTCTGTCCCTGTTTCGTGGAGCCCCAGTCATCTGAATGCTGAGGCTCAGGCCTTTCTCTTTGGCTGGCAGCACTCTGCACACTGACCCGCAGGCGCTGTGGGAGCAACAGGTCCTGCCTCGGGCAGACATTAAAAGCTAAGGATCTAGAACCTTCCTGGCCTCTAACCTGTGTGCTTCTTACGTTGGGTGATTTAATCTGTATCATTTCCCTGTAATAAGTCCTGGTTGTTGGTCTTAATGGCTTTCATTGACTTCCAAGAGTCGACCTGGAGGGTGGTTTGGGGGAATATACCCACATTTTAGCAAAGGAGTGAGGGCAGTCCTATGGAGGGGCGGGCAGTCCTATGGCAAACTCTTAGAGCGATAAGATTAACACACAACTGCTGCACCAGGATAGCAGTGACTGCTGTAGTTAGTACATGTATCATTGCCTAGGCCCGTGTATAACCTTTTTGCCAGTCCAGTGTGTACTCGGTGAATGCTGCCATACTCGTCCTTGGAATGAGGCTGTGAGGGTACACTGGTGCTTCGACAGCAGTTTTCTCCGACTTCAAAATCAAACTGCAACTCAAAAGTTGCTAGGACACACAGAGAACTGAAAAACTAGATCGTCTCTTCACTGTGGGGGACTCTAGTTCTTTGTTTATATATTTGCTTGCTAGGTTGGTATTTCACAATGATCCTTCCAGTTACAGTGTTGAAAGGTTTCCTGACTACTGGCCAAGTGATTGCTTCTTAATAAAATTAGGAATTCTACTCGGAATTTCTTTGGTCCCTCTGGCTTTCAGTAAGAAGGTCTTCTCTTGTCCCACTTGTTTTCTTTTTGCCCAATTCTGGCATGGGCCGCTGGTGCCGTCCACATCTGTTCAGTTTGTCTGCTGGGCTGAAGCGGGGTGTGGAGCTGGCATCTGGCAGTTGAGATGCCCGGAGTTCAAGTCCGACTCCTGATTCCTGGGATTATTCACCCTACGAGACAGCAGATGATGCTTGGGTGTCTGCCACCCTTGTGGGAGCCCCTGGATGGAACCCCAGTTCCTGACTCCTGGACCACCTCTAGCTGTTGGGGTATTTGGGTAGCGAACTAGTGGATGGGAGATCTCTTTGTCTTTGCATTTCAGTGACATAAAAATTTGCTTTTTAAACATGAAAATATGTTTTAAAAATAGATAAGAGAAGTAAGTTTGTTTTGCACAAAGGTAATTAGGTGTATTCCTCAAATTATGGTCATTTCTCTGAAACTATTAACCTTAAGGTAAAATTCTGAAAAATCCCAATAAGGAAAAACATGGAAAGACAATTTACTGATTTATTTATGCAAATGTGATTTTAGGATGATGTAAACCTTAATATAACCCTACCCAACATGGGTTCTCTCCCCGCAATGGTTCAGAATAGATATTGATAAAATTGTGATATCTGCTATTATGAGTCAGTAACTTAAACTGACATAAGCTTTAAAATTTCTTTGTTTTATTTATTTGAAAGGCACAGGCACAGATCTTCCATTTGCTGATTAACTCCACAAATGTCCATAATGGCCAGCAAGGGCTATTCCAGTCGAGAAGCTGGGAACTCAGCCCATGTCTCCCCTGTGGGTGGCAGGGGTCACAGTACTGCAGCCATCGCCTGCTGTGTCACGGGGGTGCACACTGGCAAGAGGCTAGCGTCAGGAGCAGAGCCAGGAGTCAGACCTGGGCCTGTGGAACCAAACGTTGGTGCCTCCAGCAGCATTGGAGTTACCGATTAAATTTTTAGATTGGATTTTGATTTGTTGTTAATATTCCACCAGCATAGATCCTGTATGTTTCTTTTATATTGGAGGAAACGGTTGATCTCTTTCCACCCATTATCCATCTTGGGGAAGGAAAAAGAAGCATCTCTTAAGCAATCGGACAAGTGACCATCTAAAGCAGTGGTTCTAGTCATCTATCTGAGATTTCCCCGTATCTGTTCTCCAGGCTTACCAGCTGTGGTTGTCTGCTCTCATATTAACACAGTTCAGGAATGAGATGAAGGGACTGGATTATGGGATCATTAGAGTATGAGTTTTCTGCATTGTGAAGCTCTGAGCCTTAAAACTATTTGAATGGATTAGGTATTTGAATGGATTAGGTCTGGGCACACCTATGTGTACCTGGGAAGACTTAGTGCATGAGTGAGGGATGTCAGCTCAGATTTCTGAGCTTTATTCTCCAGTAGCTACAGCAGACTCAGAACAACATCGCCAAAAGGCATGGCAGCTTCTGAAAAGGAAGTAGACTGAAGTTGAGAAAGGTTATTAAACAGAAAGCTAGATGTAAGTCAGAAAGTTTGTTTATGACTTAGAACCACAGTAGTGATGATTGTCACCAGCAGATACATCTGATATATTGCATTGTCTTAAGTATTTATTTCTTTTCATGCTCATTACAATCCAGAGGTCCTTAATCTTGGAAGATTCTGACAACAGATTTTGAACTAGATTGCTTGCATTGACTTAAGTTCTGGCTTCACTACTGAATAACTGTGTGACTTTAGACAAGATCCTGAGCCTTTTCTTGCCTTCATCTCCCTGTCAATGTAATGAGCTGTCTGTGTATAATGGTTAGTGACGACGGACCTCACGGGGGGCGGGGGGGCGTTAGGATCCGTCAGGTGTGACAGCTGCAGCTCTCACCTGGCTCCGCTAACAGTCATGGAGCAGAGTCTCAGAACACGAGTGGAGGCAGACTACCCTGAAAGCAGTAGAAGAGGACAGAGAAGCAGCCAGTTCGTAAAGCATCTGCCGTTCTTAGAGATTGGCAGAAGGCGACATCCCCTGTGATTATTTACTTTTTAACCAAACCTCCACGTCTTACAGAAACCTAAACTGGATACCCTTGCAAGTCTCCACTTGTGCCAGCACTTTGGAGTTGCCCCTCAGTGTATATGTTTTTCACTTTGCCTGAGTCCTGGCTTTCTCTGGCCTGGTCTGTACCGCCCCTGCTGCCTACGACAGCACCCACATGCCAGGAAGATTGCACAACAGCAAAGCAAGAGGGCGGAGCTACCCAGGGCCACAGGGGCTCGCCACATGGTGACAGAGGCAGCACCCCACTGCGGCGTCTCCTCTCCGCTGCTGGGCGTGTGGTTCCCACTGTCAGACCCCTTGGTCTTGTTAGGTGACTGTTTGCTGCTGTTGATGCGGAGTGGGACAGGCATGTGGGAAAGGGCTGTGTGTGGAGGCCCAAAGGAGGGAGGGATGGTCTTGTTGTCAATGTCTTCTCTGCTGGGTGGTCCTGCGCTGACCTTGGTGCTAACAGAAGTGAACTGTGTCCATGACTCTGTGTCTAATTCCTTGGAATAAGTGGTACTGCTTGTGTTTGCAGCCAAATCCCAAGGTGTGGTTGGTGGTGGAGTGTCAGCTGCCGGTGTCATCTGCTTGGCCCTGGGGGGCTCCTGTTGGTCTGCATTCATGGCTTTGAGGATCCTTAGTCGGTCCCAGCTGTTAGGTGAAGATCTCGTGTGCAGGTATGTAGGTGGTGACTGGCCAAAAACCAGCAAATCTGGGTCGATAGCTGAAAGAGAAACAAGACATCATTCCGTTTAGTATTTTATTTTAAGGAATTTATTTATTTGTGAAGCAGAGACAAAGAGATAGATACCCAGAGAGCTCTCCTCCGATAGTTTAGTCGCTGAATGCTCACAGTAGCCAGCCAGGCGGGGCCAGGCTGAAGCCGGGAGCCAGGAACTCCAGCCTTGTCTCCCTCGTGGGTGGGAGAAACCCCAGTCCTTGAGCTGTCACCTCTGCCTCCTTGGCTCTGCCTTGGCAGGAAGTGGGAGGAATGAAGCATGAGTGCTCAATATGGAACGGGAGCCTCTTAACCACTGGCTACAGGTGTGACCCTGTTTTTGTTTTTCGTTGCAAAAAGAAAGCCTTTTGGCACAGTTTGGATATTGCCGCTGTGCCTTAGCGAGCTAAGTGCAGTTTAGCGTCTAGCATCTTGTCCTTCCAAAAGGCTCTGAAGCATATTGGCTTTACTGTAGTCTATTCTGACTCTCCATGATACTTCCTGTTAGAAACAAGTGCAGCCATAGCAACAGAGTGCTTTGTGTCCATCAGGACATTCACACAGCTATGGCCAGTGTTAGGCACATCTGAGATAAGTCATTTTATTGATGTGACAGGCAGAGTTACAGAGAGGGGCAAGAGACAGAGAAGTAAGAGAAATCTTACATTCTTTGACTTAGTCCCCAAATGGCTACAGCAATCTGGAACTCCTGGTAGGGCTGCCTCCTGCTGCTTTCCCAGGCACGTTAGCCCGGAGCTGGCTGGGAAGGGGAGCAGCTGGGAACTCGGCCCAGCTCACCCCTGTGAGTGGCTCCTGGGTCCCAACCGTTGCTGCCTCCCAGGGTGTGTGTTGGCCAGAAGCTGGGCTCGGGAGCACCCTCACAGGATGTGGGCATCCCAGGTGGCAGTTTGCTGCTGCACACTCCCTGTTCCCAATCATAGTATAGAGCCCTCGCATGCAGACTCCGTGAACCACAAAGCAGCCGTTTTCTTGGTTTCCCAGCAGCACCCTCGGCCACTGTGGTAGAAATCCCCCACTTGGTCTCTTCGTGAAGGTTCCCGGGATAGAATTCAGTGCTTAACCTCAGCACAGTCACCAGCAGTTTGTTCGCAGATGGAATGAACTCTTTCTTCCCTGAGGAGCATTGCCCAGCTAAGGGGAATTTCCCTAGACTTTCTGATCCTGACTGAGTTCCCTGGAAAATGACACATCTGGGCCTTACACATGGCTGTTGCCAGCCAGATTCTAGGCTCCGCCATTACCGATGCCTGAGTCTCACCCACCCAACCCCCTCCACAGTCTGGAAGTAGGTCAGCCTTACCGCCTGTGATGTTGTACAGGATGGCACCAGGTGCAGGCTGCAGGACGCAGCTCTCCAGCGTGGGGCAGTGGACATGGAGGCAGTTGATGCTGTCATGAACTGGGTCGTGGTGGAAGACAGCCACGTTGCAGGAGACTGGAAGGGATGCAGGCAGAGCTCTTAAGCAAGTGGTCTTTTTTACCTGTTATTGGAGTTTATTCGTTGAAAGAGTAAGAGGAGAGACATAGAGATCTTCCATCTGCTGGTTCACTCCCTAAATGGCCTCAATGGACCTGGGTCAGTCAGGATCTAGGAGCTTCCTGCAGGTCTCCCACGTGAATGCCACGACTCAAGCATTCGGACCATCTGCTGCTTTCCCAGACCATCACCAGGGAGCTAGATTAGAAGTGGAACAGCCAGGACTCAAACCAATGTCCCTGCGGAATGCTTGATGCTGTGGCTGGCGGCTTCACATGCCATGCCACCATGCAAGCCCCTGTGTGTGTGGTCTTGATTGTAGCAGTAGGCTGAGCTCTGGCTAACTTGCATTTCCCTCAGGGGCACTGAGCTATTGTTAGACTTCCACAGAAGAGTCCGAACCACGGGCACTGCTGCTAGGAGTGTGGACAGTGCCTTGACCCAGAGTGCACCTCTTGGTTTTCTGTAAGTAATGGTTGGCTCTTTCCATTCCACGTGGGACTCCAGTGAGGTCTCATACCCTACCTGCAGGAGCAGTGCCCTCCTGGAATGCCATGGGAATCACCAGGGAAAACAATAGGTGCTATTGCAGAATTGGGAATATTGGGAAGGATGTAATGAGTAGTGAGTCCTGACTGTTCACCAGAGAGGCTGCCTAAATTTGACCTTGGCCCCAGCTGTGATGTGCTGCAGCCCCATGTGCAAAAAAAAAAAAAAACACTGCAGGAAGCCCAATGGGGCCATAAGCGGAGGCAGGGAGAGGACAAGGCCAGGAGGTCAGCCTGTGGAGTCCAGTGGCTGCGGGCATGTCACTCATTTGTGCCATCTCCCCACTTTATTATTATTATTTAAGATTTATTTATCTTACTGGAAAGTCAGATTTACAGAGAAGAGAGACAGAAAGATCTTGCATCTGCTGGTTCACTTCTCAAGCTGCTGCTATGGCGTTGCTGAGCTGATCTGAAGCCCGGAGCTTCTAGGTCTCCCATGTAGGTTCATGGGCCCAGGGTTTTGAGCCAGCCTTGACTGCTTTCCCAGGCTGCAAACAGGGAACTGGATGGGAAGTGGAGCTATCAGCACATGAACCAGTTGCAGCATATAGGATCCTAGGAGTGCAAGGTGAGGATTTAACCTCTAGGCTATCGCAACAGGCTCTATCTCCCATTTTCTAAGCAATGAAACTCCTTGTGTTATTTCAGGACAACCTGAGTCTGATCTGCCCAGTGACAGGAACCATGGAATATGAGATGCCCCTTGGTCAAAGGCATCGACTTTTTTTAATAAAGTGGGATTAGAGAACGATTGTGTGTGATTGCTAGGTCCCAGTGCCTGGTGCTGCAGCTACTGCAGACTTTCCGCTGGCAGTCCCATGGGACTTGTGAGGGTGGGGTGCGTGTGGCTCGGTGCAGCTGCCCCTGACTTGTGGCCATCCTCCTGTTTCTGCATCCCATCTGCTCCCAGCAGGACAAAGTCCAGGATGACAGTGAGCAATACTGCTTCCCCAACACACACATTCCCTGTGTGCTGCTCTGCAAGGTGGAAAGGACATGAAATACCACACAAAATCGCCTGTGAGGCAGGGAAGGTTTCTCAGGAGAAAGGAGCCGCTGCCGTCGCAGGTGAATGACTTTGAGTCTTGGGTTCCTGAGTGTGTTTCCGTCCCGGCTCCCAGAGGAGCTTCCTGCCCCTCTGCAGGAAGCATGTGGCCTGCTCAGTAGCTGCAGGGACACTGTAGGTGCTGGGGCCACAGCTTGGAGAGGCTGGACTCCTGATGCCCTGAGAAAATTCCAGGACGGTCTGGCCTCTGCATCCCCCGGGAATCAGAAGCAACGAGGAGTTTCATTATTGCCCATAGGGGTTCCCTTTATTCGCTTCCTTGCCCTGTCAGTGCCTGCGGAAGCCTTGGAGGCGCACTGTGCCCCTGCGTTTCCCATGCCGCGGCGGAGGTTCCTTGGCACAGAGTTGGCTGTTTCCTAGCTGCCCCTCCAGCTTCCCCCTTGGAAATCGTGTCTGCAGGAAGGCACCGAGGACTTGGCAGCTCCAGAGCAACTATGCAACTACAGAAACGAAGTGTGGATTGAGCAACCAGGGAATTACTTAAGGGCTGTCTTCCTTTTGTTCCTTTCCAGGTAGCTTTAAAAGCTTGAGGGGAAAATGAGGAAAATAAAATTAAAAAAAAAAAATGTTTAGGCAGTTGCAACTTAGAGCTGTTTTCCTAATTGTAGGTGCTGACCAAGTTATAGAAGATGCTTACACCCACACCCTTTAGGACAGAAAAAACTTGTCATCTTTTGAGAAACTTTGGAAATAGGTTTACTTTTGTATGTGTGGTTTCTGGCATGTTATGTCCCGACTGCCTTTAGTAATATGAGTAGACCTGGATTCCTTTCACTAGAGCCTAAACTTGGTCTTTTTCAACATCTGACCTGCAACCCCGGAGCACTGCGTGCTGCTTGGAGAGGGAAGGAAGCAAACTGTAAGGTTCTTCCTGTACTTGAGATCACAAATGCATCCTGAGTTAAGCTTCCACCCAGCCATCCAGCAAAACCAAGGGGTCATGGGGTCGCGGCTGCTGCTGCCAGCCCGTCAGGATTCCCCAGGGGCTCCCTGGTCTCCCCTTCCTTCCCAGCGGCGGCATCCCGGGTCCCTCTGAGCGCCAGGCTCGCGAGCCTGCCTGAGCAAGCACGTGTGTGCACTCACCATCTTTGTGGAGACAGCAGCTCCTGCTGCAGCGCTGGCCCGTGGTCTCGGAGTAGTACCGCAGGAACTGGGCGCCCAGCTTCTGAGACTCCTCCAGGTCGATGAGGAGCCCCGGGAAGCGTCGGATCCAGCAGTCCCGGTAGAAGACAGTGGGTGAGCAGAGGGCACCCCATGCCCCTCCAGCGGCCAGGAGCAGGAGTCCCGCTGCGGCCACCGTGGCCACGTGCATCTCTTGGGGATGGCTGGGGACAGCGAGAAAGAGGGGAGCTCTAGACAAGGGCGGGCATGCACAGGAGGGGGACTCACCCCAAGAGCCTGTTCCCAGGCCACCAGCTGCCTGCAGAGTGGCTTCCCTCGGTCCCCTGGTTAAGGCCCCACGCGGCCCAGTTCCTGGACGCCTCCCAGGCACAGATCCTCTGCCTTTCTTGTTCCTGTGACACTGAAGTCACAGGCACCTCCTCAGAGCCAGCACAAAGACAGGTGGAAATCCTAGTCGAAGTCTTTCTGAGGAAGACAATCCCGGAGCCAGAGAGCTCAGATAAGGTCCTGCAGAAGCAGGCTGGTTCCTGAAGGAGCTTGCTGGACACTGCAGGCCTCCAGAGCCATCTCTGCTGCATGTCCTGGTATGCATGCGCCCTTCACAATCACTTTCTGTCCTGGCTTAGGATTCCTTTCTTAATTTTCTTTTTAAATAAAAATCTGAAGAAGTCAATAAAAAGGGAAAGTGAAATTTTAAGCTGGCAATAATTGCAAAAACGTTGATTACAGGCCCTGGTCACTTCTTGGGGGACAGCCACAAGTTTTCATTAGTAGGAGACTAAAGATCCAGCCACAGGACTGTGCTCAAAATACAGAGGGCAGACACCACGACGACCGTGTGTGTGTCAGCCAGCCGAGAACAAGAAGCCTGCTGAAGGGAGAGAGTTCTGAAGAGGCTCCGTGTAGGCTTAGCTGATTAATCCATTTTCTGATATCCGTGTTTGCAGGTTGCGAAGCAGACGGCCCTGAGAAGTGAGTGCAGAAAGACACAGCGTCCGACTGGAATGCAAGGAGTTGCTGAGACATTGGCACGCTTCAGAGCTCCCAGTTCCCAATGAAATCGCTGCCCTTGTGATGCTGAAATGTTAGGACAGGCAGGGAAAGCGGCGTCTTGGAAGCTCGTGGGCTCCTGGGCTCCGTGTCCCTTGAAATAGCCCGGAGCGTGACGCTGATGTTTTTTTTTTTTTGTACCTGATGCATTCATGATAACTTTGGCATCAAGAACTGTACTTTTAAAAAAGCGAGAGAGAGCTGAACCTGTGCAGGTCAGGTGCATAGGCAGGACAGCATCTCCCCTGTGGCCCGTACCTCACCTGCCTTCTGCATTCATCTCATGAACCCCAGACTCTGTGTATTCTTTGAACCTTGATTTCTTGGTCTGTGTCCTAGTAACAGGCAGCGTACTGATTGCATATCTTGAATTTTAGAAACATAAAACACTAATAATCATACTGAAGAGGAAGACACCTGCGGCTGAATAACTTTAAAAATCTTTTCACTTTTCTAGGCAAAAATTGTATATTAATTCCTAGCCTTGCATAAGCACATATGTAGACTGAACACACAAAGCCGAACTCTAGCAAGGTTCTTTTAGAAAAAGCGGATTTCAGTGGCTCACCTGCCAGCAGGCTCACTGGATTGGCCCGTGTGCTCTGAGAGGCAGGGTGTTCTGGTGGCCAAGTCTAGGGTAGAGGAGTGATAGAAAGTTCCTGCTGTTCCTGTTAGGACATGCCCTGGGCGCATAAACTGGAGAGACCACATTCTAACCCTGTGACCTCCTAGTCACATCACTTGTCCTTTCTCTTCTGTGATACTCGATTCCTGGTAGCTTTCCTGTGCCCTGCCCGGGTAGTAAAACAATCCACAATTGTTTAACTCCTTTGCTGGCACAGGATATTCAAGTGAATGCCAAAGTGTTATTTCAGTGCATTTATAAAGAAGGTCTTACATTGTTTTACTCTATTTGATGAGGGGAGAGAGGGTAAGCTGACAGCTCCTGCATCTCCCCTGGCAAGCAGGTTCCCCTCCCAAATGCCCATAATTAAGTCAGGAACTCAAGTCAGGTCGGCTACCTGAGCGGCAGGAACCAATGGCCAGAGACTGCTGAAGTCATCGGCTGGAGCACCCCAGGGTGCACGTTAGCCGGACGCTAGAGGCAGAAACTGGAGCTGGAAGTGAGCCTAGGGCTCCACGTGGTGTTCTGATTGAGGTCTTAAGCTCTAGGCCAAAGACTCACCCCAAAACTTCATTTTAGAGAATTAACGAGTTCCAGTATGAAAGTACACTTAAAAATCTTTCAACAAACTTCATGCTGTGATGACGTAAGCATTCAGTTTGGAAGTAGGTAACTTCATGGGTCCAAGTTTTGTTGCACGCGCAGGTAGAAAGGGGAGTGCAGAGAGGAGGGAGACATCAGCCACAGCTTCACAACTTGCCCTTGGAGGAGGAATTTACTTCTTACAAAGCTTCTCAAATTCACAGGACCCTTGCACTGGGACAGGGTGATGACAGCACTGTCATTCTTTCCAGTGATGTGCTCTTGAGAGAGGTTCACCAGTGAGATTCAGTACTGTGCTGTTAGCCTAAGACTTTGCTAACCCCCAGCCCCGGGCACCTGCGGAAGCGGCAGAAGGTGGCCCACCACCACACCGGGGGTAGCCATGATAGTTCTTTGGGGAGTGAACCAGAGAATGGTTCCCATCACTCCTCTGCCTCTCTTCAATCTTCCCTCCTGTCCTTTCTTCACCTCTCCCCTTCCCTTTCATATAAACCTTCTTAAAGTTGCTTTTAAAGAAATGAGATTCATATCTTAAAAACCTCTTATCCCAGTGATTCTGGAGGCCAGAACTTTATTTGAAAAACACAGCCAGGTGACAGAAATTATTTGGAGGTTTTGTCTTCATGAGGATTCTCAGCTTGAATTGAACAGTTATTAAAATAACTGTTAAACACTGTGAAACACCCGATGTGCTTTTGCTTTTTTTTAAAGCAGAGTTTACAGAGGTTCTGCGGTGGCGGTGGGAGGAAAAGATTGTCTATCTGCTCCCCCAAATGGCTGCAGAGGCAGTAGTTGGGTCATTTGGAAAGCAGCAGCTTCTTCCGGGTCTCCCACGTAGGTACAGCAGCCCAAGCACTTGGGCCATCTTCGCTGCTTTCCCAAGCATGTTAACTGCATGGGAAGTGGAGCAGCCAGGACTCAACCCAGTGCCCTTACGGAATGCTGCTGTCATAGGAGGTGGCTTTACTTGCTATGCTGTGACTTTTGCCCCACCCTCATATGCTTTGATTATATTTCTAACTTTAGGAAGCAATATTTTCTTTTTTTTGTAACTTTTTTCAAAACATTTTTCCATTTTTTAAATTATATTTTTAACAATCTTTGCATAGTTAATTAAGGTAAAAAAAGGTTCAAGGGCTACAGGAAAGTGGGTAAGACTATTATTTTCATATTGTTTCTTTCAGGTATCTGAGGTAAAGGGGGATATTAAAGGAGAAGCCCCATCCAGTCTCCCACCCACCCGAGGTCTCTGATGTAGGGCATGCTCTGAGGGTCTTGCTCAAGTGGTTTTGATAGTAGAAGCAATATTTTCTTGAAGCCTAGAGATAATATTTCAGGTAAGGAGTTTCCATTGCTTTTACATTTCCAGTTTAACAGAAAACTTACTGTGTGATTTATGGAAACACTTTATCCTTTAGGACACTCCTGAGCTTGCTGTCACTGCTGGGAGCCAAGCGGCTGGCAGGATCAGAGCCAGACACCCTAGATTCCCCATCCCATGAGGGATCTTGCTCCAACAATGTGACTGCCCTCAAAGTGCCCTTCTAACGCACATCATTCACTGAGTGTGATTCTTTGCTCTGTTTTAAAAAGGAGAGAAAACACCGCCCTGAAGCCTATCTGTGACAGCCGGGAAACAAAAGAATCCTTTGGAGGAAGAGGGCAGACTAAGGGCCTGTGTTCGTGGCTGACCGCAGGATCTGGCATGGCTGCTCACTGGGCACAGCACACTCGCAGGCCCAAGCATCCCGAAGGCAGGGCTGCCTCACAACACAAGCCTCCCCGGGGCAGTGTCTGGCACCTGCCCTTCCCTAAGAGGCAGTTCACTCACCCCCTATCCCCCTGGACCCTGCTCTAGGGGGTAGAGGTGTGACAGGTGTGTGTGTGTGTGTGGCACGGGATTCAGTCAGGATGTCAGGTGACAGGATTCCAGAAAAGAACTGGGCAGGACACAGCACAGATCCAGCCTGCTGTCCTAACTTGTGTCCAAGGAGGCAAGAACCTACTGGAATTATTTCTGTGTCTCTTACATGTTAGTTCCTTGTTCCTGGTATATTATAAAGCAAATGGAAAATGCCAGCACTTCACTATGAAACAGTTAAAATTACAAAGTAAGAAGCAAAAATGTAATCGGAAGTCAAATTTCTTCTTTCACTGATGACTTTCTTCTCTAGAGCCGAACCTTCCCCTCTTCCTAACATCAGATCACCAGCATCTTGCCTGAGTGCTTGGTTTGAAGGGGAGTGACAACTCGCCATTCAAGAAGAAAACTCCAATCTGAAGATGAAAAACATAAATCCAGATACCTGTTTTCTGCAAGCTGTAAGCATTATGTGTGTGCATATACATATATACATATATAATAATACTGCATTAGTATTACACAGTTCACAAACCTTGGCCTGGAAAAGTTTGCAAGTTTTGTTGTTAAAAGAGTCAACAAACTTTCTGTGCCTTTGAATCCTGGTCCCATATCCTTCGCCACGTCAAAGGACAACCTTAGAACAAATCTAAACACCTCAACTTTAGAGTGGGTGCTGAGAACGGATCTACATCCCATGCTGGAAGGCATGGATTCAGCCTCATTGCCACTTCCAGTCCGGCTGCCTGCTAGTACACATCCGTGGAGGAAGAGGGTGATGACTCAGGTACTTGGACCCTTGCCACAGATGAAGTTCCCAGCCCCAGCGGGGCAGCTTCCCCGCATTGGAGAATTGAGCCAATGATCGGAAGATCTTGCTCCTCCTCTCTGCTGTCAACTCTAAAAAAGAATAAATGAGGCCGAGAGCTTAGGTTCTGAGCCCCTAGGTGGGACAGAAGCCACCACAGGAGAAGGCTTGGCCTGCTGCACTGGCCCCTGCAGTCCTACATAGTACCTCTGTAGGGCCCAAAGCCTACTTCCTGGTTGGCACCAGGTTATTGCTCACTGTGGACAAAGATTGCCATGTCACAGTATCTTCCTGGGATCCTCGTTTTGGCTGTTAAGCAAACATCCCCTCCTCTCAACCCTTTTGCTTCCACTAGGGTGGGCAGAGCCTCCACCGCCATGGCTAGCCCCCAATACTCCTT